CACAGTTGGCCACTTTTTTTTTGCTATGGCCATTTTAGTGATTTTTAAATGAAAATATGCAATATCATTTTAGCTACTATTTGGAACTTGCCCTGTTATTTGCTTTCCAGTGAGTGTCAGTAGCTGGACCTCCTTGATTTAAATGCTAATTAGCTTGCCTTGCTACTTCCAAAGGGCTGATTAAACAGGAAATGATGTTGACAGGAAATGGATGGAGGCAGGCAGTGAGATAATTTAGCCTTGTGTTTGGAAAAAGAACACACACAGCTTCAGGATCGAAGGAAGAGTGAGAAGCCATGCCTGTGTTCCATGTCCAAGAACTTCATCTTGGCCATCGCCAAGCATGCAACCAGCAACTTTTAGAAATGACTGAAATTAGAACATAGTATGCATATGTATGGTTAGATTCACTGGTTTCCTCCATGCTCCTTGACCTTTTCAACTTTCTGTACACCTTTTTTTATCTTTAGTTTAGTAAAAGATATCAATTTTACACCTTATTTTGCGTAAATGCCTACAAGTCCTTGAACACCGAACAACTACCTGCTGTTTGGACAGAAAACTACCTAAAATAACATCCAATATGTTATATTAAATCAGGCCTGCCCATAGGTTTAAAAAAATTCACAAAATATACATCCCCTTGACTGTACAAGTCTGTTATTTTGATATTGCAGCCTTCAATTTGTCAACTGCATTCCAATTCAAAAAAAAAACCACATTCCCTATAAAGAAAACCTGTAGAGAAATTTTGAACCTGACATTGCTGACCTCCATCAGAAAATGCTTGGCTGTAGTATTTTCTGAGTCACTATGCTGAAACAAGCTCTGATCAGAAAAGTCGGATAAGTCAGAACCTAATATTTTATAGAAACATCAGCTATGGTAGCCTGCACACTTTATCAACACAGGTTTAAACTTGCCTATTGGCTCCAAACTTGAATAGCTTAGCTCCTGAAATATGCAGTAGTCTGCCTAGCCCATAACATATACAATGCATAGCAATGCCCTAGTTAGCAATGTTACTGCAAAGCAAAGCTGATCAAATAATGTGTGATGCGATATTGAAAGTTACTACGGTACCATTGATTAAATTATGGTCTGACTGGTCATAGCTGTGACTACATTTCACTGGTGATTAGGGAATGCCATCCCTATGCCTTACACTGTACCTGTGCAGCACATTGATGGGCTCTAGTAGTACTGCTGCTTATCCTACTCTCTTCCATGAGGTTTTACCTAGTGGTACGGTACATTAACTTTCAGTTCCAAAAAATGTTGTGATAGATTCTGTGAGCACTTATGGTCACAATCTATAAACGGTCCCTAAAACTTGCCCTAACCCTTATCCCTATCCTTACCTTAACCCATTAGCCTCACACTTGGTATGTTACATCAATGTACGCATTCATTTAAATGGGCTGGCAACGCACAGAAAACTGACCTGCGGCATTTGCTGTGATTGAGAGCACCATAACAGATAGCAGTTATTGTGTTGCAATGCAGAGCAACGTAGGCGAATCGGCATTGGGGAGCCATTAGGGATGAATGGCACCACATTGGCCCAACACGTGTTATTGCACTGAGAATATGCCCTTTCCTAACATGTTTACATTTAACCACCTAACCTTTGAGCCTAACCCTAGGCTAAACTATCCCACTAAATCAGCATATATAACAGTCCTGTGCAGAATTTTATTGGTGGAGATATAAGTTCCAAATGCTTCTGTTAGCTAGCTTGTGATTTGAGCACAAGCAGTGGTAACACCATAATGGTCAATATAGGCATACTGACAGCAATATTAATAGAAAGGATTTATATAGTGTGGCGCTTTACAATATAAGAAGGACATAACAGTTACAATAGAAATCAAACCCAGATGGTAAGGAGGGCCCTGCCCATGAGAGCTTATATGCACCCAGGTATGTGAAAAGATTGGATGTTATTGTGCGCAGTTGTTGGGTCAGACTGACTGCAGGGTTGCATTGCAGTCAGTAATTTAGTAAAATTAGATATAGAGGTGTTTGTCTTCATGACTCCGAAAATAGTAATAATCTTTCTATTATTATGAAAATTGATGAAGAGTAAAAAAAAAGTATTGAAATTTCAAGGATGTGTATACACAGTACTGCATACCAACAGGAAGGGGTGTTGGGGAGCAAGGTAAAACCCAAAGTGGATATTTTTTTTGTGGCCATGTAGATACATCTCTGCTTTAGTGGACTCACATTTAAATGTAAACAATCAACCATCGGTAAAGAATTAGACACAATACTAGTACCAATGTCATTTATGTCTAAAATGACAGAGAAATAAGCATCTAGGGTTTGGCTATTAGCGAAGTATAGGAATGTATAAATTCCAGCTTATACTATGTAGCAAGCAGCAAATCAAAAGTGGCAGAACTGTCATATTATAATATATACTGTAAGCTAGTCAGCCTTTTTGTAAAACTTATTTTGGTTCTTCAGCCATCATTCCTTATCAACTTCAAACCATTGCTATTCACAGATTTTGGGGTATTTACGACCCAAAAGTGTTTTTAAGTGTATGGAAACACGATTATCTTTTTATACGATGTGCTTTTGTGGTTATTGTTAATGATTGCCAAGTCTACAGTGCTGGTGGCTCTTTGTTAGGAGAGCAGCAAACATCTGTATGAAGCTGGAAATAGTAGAATGGTTTCTCTACTGCAATAGCTCAGTTTGTGTGTGCTCCTACAAACCTACAAACGCTGGCTCTAGGCTACTATGCAGGAGTCAGTGTGTGTGTGTGTGTGTGTGTGTGTGTGTGTGTGTGTGTGTGTGATATATATATATATACATACACACACACTTCAGTGTGATGTTTGTATCCATGGGATTTTTTAATTTGTGTATAATGACGCCATTACACTACTTATACCCAAACTACCTCTGGACAAGTAATTTCGATTGTGCAGTGGGGACTTTAATGCAGATCTATACTATTGCACCACTAAGCCTTCTGAGTCTCTTACAAGCTGAAAATACAGCAATATTTTCATAGCATAAGCACGTTTGGCAAAACAAATAAAGTAATGGCACTTCACATCTCTGAAGAGGACACTGAGATGCAATGTGCAAATAGCAAACCTTTATAAATACCATAGTAGCAGTAAACGTAAAGGCAAAGATAAAGCTGTTAAATCAGGTCTCTTATAACACAAGTGCACATTCATTTATGGGTCCATAAAGCTATAATATCATATGACTGGTGACAAATCAGGGGCCCATTTGTTATTGGAATCTACCTGGTTATTCTGCCCTACAGTACATAATATTATGATCTTGTGTGATGCAATATTGAAAGTTACTACCATTGATTAAATTATGGTCTGATTGGTCAGATCAAGCTGCACATACTAATACTTCGTATATATTCAGATTCACAAGATGCCGTGAGACAAGTTTCTCAACATCCATAACATGTGTGATCCATGCCTGGGGTGAGAATCTAAAACCTGCAGGAACTAGCACCATTAACATTTAAAAGAAATCTATTAAGATAGAAAAATGGGAGCTGCCATTGGAGACTTTTTAGAAGATGAAAACTCTAGGGCCATCACTCTCATCCTTCCCTCACTCCAAGGCAAATGACTTACCTGGGACACCTGATATGCACAAACATGTTCCAGGTCAGTACTCTTTATAAAAAAAAAGGATATAGGATAATGGCCCTGTAGCCTCCAGCTTTAAAAGAAAGTAACGAATGGCAGCTGCTGTATATCTATAGATAAAGCTGAAAAGTCCTTTAAAATAGTGCAACATAGTGACTGAAAAAATGTTTTTCTATGTATTTAGCAGATTTGCATTTAGGTATCATTGTCGGAGATCAGTGACAGCACTATGCATGTTTGGATTCACAGACAATCAAAGCAATGTCAAGTAGTTACTGAACATATAGTCAGACATGGTTGTCTGCTGATACAGGAACAGCACAGTTTGGGTCAGACACCGTACTGCAAACATACCTTGGGTCTGCTTATAAAGCAGGTATCTCACAGATAAATAGAGTGTGCTATGCTCCTGCTGGACATCACCTTTGCCTAATTTTGGATGAGCATGGATAGAGTGAAGGGTCCCCTGAGCAGCCACCCCCACCCTGGGGATGGTCTGCGTACTGACAGGAGGCCAAAACCATTTAACATCTCATCAGGCAGCATGGCGGTCCGGCTGTCACCGTGGCAACGCCGGGGCTCAATTTCACAAATGTCACATTGCGTTAACATCTTCACACTGCCCCACAACCCCGGGATTAACCCCTGCCAGTCTGCAAAAGAGTGTGTAGCCCATACACTGTAACTCACTTGTTCTTGTTTTACTTAACACTTCAGCGGTTTAAACAAAATATATATCGTTCATAAACATTTGATTTTTTTCTTTCTGGATTCATAAAAAAAAAAAAGAACTCCCCTTAAGAAAATATAAGTATTGTAACCAAGCACCTTTCCTTAGAACTTTCAGACCTCTTGCAACACTGAATTCTTCTTGAGGTGCCTCAGATTATTATAGATCCGTCCCACTGCCCATAAAGATCCCTTTCGTATCAGATTCCCAGCAAAAACTATATGTACCAAAATAGAATATGTAAAATATGACTTTTAATTAAACAAAATGCCATCCCTGGCTCTGCACTTCTTTGCTTAAATATAATTAATAGGGCATAGGCTTCTTTCCCTCCAAGCTTCAGGAAGAGCTGTCAGGCCCTGTGATCACTCAAGTGCCATAATGCACAAGAAATCCATTGGCTTCCTTTGGATAACAAGCCTGAGATTCCCATTAAGCCTTTGGGTGACCAGTCTGGAGATGTTTGTCACAACGGCGTTTCCAGGTTGGCTGTTGAAAAAAGAAAAACTGTAGAAAAATAAAAACAGGTAATGTGCATTACCAACTGTTGTGAGCATAGTTTTTTCCACACTGAGAAATCATTTTTTTCTTTGCATAAAAATCAACCACTGAAGTGTCTTGTTGAATTTGTTTAAAAAGTCCAGCAGTTTGTTAAAGGTCCGTCAACGTCCTATAAAAGCCTTGTCACAAGAGCTCAGAGTCACCTCTTCAACAGGTGTAATTTGAATGACGACAGACTCTAGAAAACCTAGGTGGGAAAAAAAAGGGAACACCGTTAACCCAGACAGGCAAGCAAAATCAGCTCAGGAGCAGCAAAGCCTGAGGCTAGCAAGTGTGCTTAGCTGCGTGTTCAAAGGCATGTCTGAAAATCAAACAGCTTGCTATGTACACTGTGCCGACTGCTCTAAAAGCCTGCAAGAAAATGGCCCTGTATATTATAGTCACAGAAAGTACTGGTAAAAAAATAAATTAAAAAACGGGGTTCTTCCCATGAACAAAAGCTAGAAACAGCATGCAATGGGAGGGACAGGTAGGCAGCCACAAGGCATCAGAAGAGGAATCACCTACACGAGACTGAGAGGGGGAAATCAAGACACCAAAGAAGTGACAAGTGAAATATAAATTGGGATTATGTTTAGAAAAGGGTTGTGAGTTGAGAGGCGGTGGTGTGCTTATACTAGTAAAGGAGAGAGGAAATACAAATGCTGGACAGACTGGGCATCCGGAGGAGGGAGGCTGCACTTGCAAAGAAGGGGGAGAGGAGCCCATCTGGCCACAGTGTTACACAGAGATTGCTGGTATTAAAGGTTCTCTCGGCTGAGTGGAATCAGGGGACGGCTGGTAATGAGATGACAAAACGCTGGCAGTCTGGGAGGAGCGGCTCTGTCACAGCGTTGCGCGCTCAGCTGGGTCATTTGTAAGTGTCAATCACATGGTGTCCAGGGGGAAGATAAGGGGGGCACCATCCTACTTCATCTGTTCCAGCATAGAGCCCTAGCTGAACCAGGTTTTCCCAGCTACCTGCAGTATCTACAGACACCACCTGTCAGCATGTGTACACATGAAGACAGAGCACTTTAACTGCAAAACAATAAGGATTTGAACACATATACAAGAAAAAAACCTGTGCTTTTATGAAGAATTATTAGTGTGCGAGTTTCTATAATTTACAAGCAGGCATTCAATGCATAGCCTAATCATCTGTTGGTCTAGTGCACATGCACTATGCTTGGGTGGTACATGCAGAATGACAGTTTATTCAGACAAATTACATGAAGTCTAGATCTGCAGAAGAGTGTACTTTGGAATATCAACAGTAAAGCTGGCCGCCATACACTGGTAGATTTTTGTATGAATTTTCAAAAAAATCTCATCAAGACATTCGATAATACTGTCAAAGACTTGACGATTCTCATTCGAAATTGCATTTAATTTCGGAATGAAAGGAGTTTGTCAAACGAAAACCATATTTACTGTAAGAATTTTCCATCCCGGCCTTCGTTTTTGCAGCACTTCGGTCAAAATTCCAATATCCATTTGAGCCCATTAACTATTAAAGAAATCTAACGAATGTTCCGAAAACTAATTTTTTTAAACTAAATCCTACTGGTGTACAGCCAGCTGAAATTATTTTTATCATCATCTAAGTACTACCTAGGCATCTCTAATGTTTAGTCGAACCTGGGACTATAATCCTTACATATTATGCATCTGGATCATCTGGCTCTAGGCTCTCCATGAAATCATCCATCAGCCCAGCAGCTTTGCTTTTCTTCTTTGGGGGACCTGTGTGAAGAAAAGGAGCAAGGTGGATAAAGGTGCAAATGAGCGTTATGGGAAACTGGCTTGTGCAATGTCAAGAAGTCACATGTGCAATGCTAATAATCCTGATTGTTAAACAGAAAAAAATTAATAAACAATATTAAAAGAAAAACCATTTCCAAAATGGCAGAAAGTACTGGCGGGTTTATTTTACTCACACCTTAACACAATATTATGCCGTTGCTAACTTGGCCAAAAGAGGTGTTTCAGTATCCTGCACACTGAACGGTGACTTCCTGGATGAGTGGCACACCAGTATTCCCCAAATCCCCTGCATTATTTCTCACTGTTGCCCTGCTGTCTTCTCCAGGGAAGTTCCCTCCTTTGAGAATGGAGTGGGAGGCCCCACTGACTGACATGTTTACAGAATGCAGAAAACTAGTCAATACTAATTAACCTGCTAGGAGACACAGTTGCTGACAGTGAAAGCGAAGGAGGGGGAGAGAAGGACAGAAAAGAGGAGGAGAGAAGGAGTGGAAGAATTAGGAAGTTGAGAAAAGTAATTGAAAAAGAAAGGCATACAGTGATGAAAAAGAATCATTAAAGAAAAGGAAGAAACAGGATAACTGAAGTCCAGAGAAGTAAAATTATATTTTTATTCATTGATAATTTGGTGGACGTCAAATGAGCACTAATGATGATAGAAGAATATAGTATAAAGAGTGAGTGACAATTGGAAACCATATAGAGAAGTTGTATGTACTATAAATTAATGGGGTGAGGGTTGATGTACTTTGGGCTCTGTGCAGAAATTGATATAAGACATGAAGACACCCATATGCAGACTACAAAAGTGTGAATTGGAAGCAATGTGGTAAAAATGAGGGATATATAAAATCAGGAGAAAATAAGCAATTTAAAATAGCAAGGACATCCACAAACACTGCACAAGAGACATGAAAACAGAGAGCAGCAATAGAAGTCTGTATTGAAATACATAATCGGGGGAGAGATGCTCAGTGCCTTTCACTGAACTTTTGATACATACAAAATGAATTTTGTGTGGGGATCAAAGATTGTGGATGGAGGACACTATTGACTGTAAATATTCATTAATATCTCACTCTGCACATTATTCATTTAGAAGAACTGTGTTTGCAGGTTCCACTGTATTTGTATAGGAACCATGGGTAGCACTATTCATTTGACTATTATCTCTTGTTGGATACATGGTAAGGGTCAATAAACATTGGCTTACATTAAAGGACTATTAAAATGCTCACAAATGTGAATAGAAGACATTTCAAAAGCTTGTGATAATAGAACCGACATTCGGTAAGAAACTGATCTGAAGGCAGACATTGACTGACATACATCAGACTAGCTGATACAAATACATGTTTTTATTTAACATGGGTTGTCTTTACCAATCAGATTTAAGATATATATTTTAATACACTTTCTGAAGAACCTGGTGGGATAACCCTTGTGAACAAAGGATAAGGTGAAAAAGATTTATCAGATCAAAGTGTCAAATTTAGTCAAAATTTGTACTGGTGCCTGGCACAATATACAGATATGTACACATTTTACAATCAGCTCAGGGGTGTGGAATTCGCCCAACGCCCAGGACAGGCAGTTTAGCCCTGCTCCGGACAAGCAGAGCTAAATGTACAGCGTGGGGCCACCGCTCGTTTTTATACAAGTGATCTGATCAGATCACTTGTATGAAAGGAGCGGGGGCAATCGTGTCTGGCCCCTGCCGCCATGGCTTTCGGGGTCCCCCGCTCCTCTGGGGGACCCGTAACCACAGCACATCAGCACACCATAGAGCCCGTAGAACAGACGAAGAACGTCCGTTCTTCGTCTGCTCTGTGCTATCACCGAGACCGTGGCGCTAAGATCACAGCGCCACCTATCTCAGCTGTCAGGAACCACACAGAACATCTGTTCTGTGTTGGAGGGCAGGTTCCATAGGGAGAACCTGTCACCTCCAAACTATCACATGAGGGATTTTTAATCCCTCTATGTGATAGGAATAAAATTAAGTGGGGGGAAAAAGTTAAAAATAATAAAAAGTAATAAAAAATAATAAAATATATAAAAATAAAAAAATAAAAAGTGATAAAGTAACAAAAAAATGTAAAACCAACCCCGCCATCTGCATGCAAATAAACGCATGCATAGGACATTGAGTGTGTGCGTTGAGTGCTGCCGCCATTCCTCTGTGTGCCGTATTGTGGTAGCCAGGCAGCAGAACTCTTCTACACACACAATGTGCATTAAAGGGTAAGTTCACTTTCCCAAATAATATGTGAAAATTGAATTATCCGATCAAATCTGGCCCGATCTCTTCCAAACCAATCCCCCGGCTATACGTACCTTTCGGCGAACAGTCCTTACCCTCCTCCAGTACAGGTGTACTATCTGTACCCCGTAACGCAGTCCAGCCCTATGCAGTTTGAATTTCGCTCGCAAATTGCAAGCACTCATTGGTCAGCGTGGTCAGGTGACCACACTGACCAATGAGAAGCGCTATTTAGCACAGTTAAATACAGTTTAGATTAGGGATGCACCAATACAGAGTATTTGGGCGAGGACTGTATAGTCAAAAAAAAAGATGTACAGTTTGATAATCAAAATTCCCATGTTGAAACATTATAGGCAATAGACTCCATATGCAGTTCTAAAAACTTGGTATGGATGATTTAATTTAACTTAGATTTCAGATGCCGGTCTGTCCAGCCTAGCAGCCAACAATTTTTTGTATGAGCAATATAAGATCTGATTTAATTCATAAACAGGAAAGGCTCAAAAGTTCAGAATCCAGAAGTCATTTTTAGGTACATTGGCTGTCATAGAAGGCTCCAAGCCCTGGTAAAAGATACAAAAGTAATGCGAATGATCAAAACAAACGGATTAAGAAAAAAAAAACACCAGGTGACAGGAGTAAGAAAGAGAGATAAGATCAGAGTACAGAGAAAGCAGTAAAAGGAAAAGATGTTCCTCTTTGGATCACTCCGCTATGCATTACATCAACTGGACCTAACTTAAGAAAATGTAGAGTACAGAGAAAAAAATAACACTGCCTCACTAGGCTTCTTGTATAATAAGCCTAACCATCTTCTTCACCCTCTGTTGACCTATAGTCTGAGGTACTAACTGAAACTGTTAGCCTGTAAAAAGAAAAATATAAGGGTGCCAGTGCTGACTGAAAATGCTAACTGCTTGTTTGTTATGCTGAGCCAGTGGTTTGTTCTGAGTCACTGACCTGTAACAAGCAAGCAGCATTAGAAAGCCAGAAGCCCTTAACAGCATAATTGTTCTCACTCAGGGACTAATCGTTCTGAAGAGGGTCAAAACCATGATAGCCAGGCAACCAGCATTTTCAGTAAAAGGGTCAGCAATGCCAACCAAAATATTTCTCTAATGGCAGTTTTCAGTTCATGCTTTCCTGCCCTTTAGAAATTGCTATTCCAATCTGTAAGTCTTATGATCTCTACCAAAGGGGAGAATCAGTGCGCATGCAGAGCCAATTGTCCAGGTGTGCCTGAAGGTTACCACCTTAGGTGGGCAGGAAGATCTGGTGCTTTGCCCTCTTCGGCTTCTGCGCTGTTGTGACTGCCTGCTCTGTGCTTGATGTACTTAGGCTGAGGTGCACTCGATACTGGTTTCATTTCTTTTTTTTATGATTTTACCCATGATTTATCATGTTGACATCCATGTTTCGTAGTTAAACCATAGTACTATGCAAAGACTTTGGTACTTCTATATTTTATATGATAATATAGTATGTCGCAAATAGTAATGCTGATATTCATGCTTGGTCCCAATTGCTTACAATGAACTAGTTGCTATTGCATCTCTACTGTCCTCAAGGATAGGTTTAATAATCATGTGCAAAGGTGATTTTAAAGTTCCTCTTTTTTCCGCATATATCTACTGCTAACAAGCTGTAGATATATGCCCCATGATTAAAAACACGCACGGTGACCAGACACCATGGGACACGAGGAGTCTGCGGTGGATCAGAGACTGGCACCAGTGCTGGAGGGACTGTCGGAAACGAGTGGAAGGTGATCGCAGCAAAGAGGCATCAAATAAGGCAAGTGCTTACAGCAGCACTGGGGGTGGGGGAGGGGGGATATTGATTTAACTCCTTCACGACTGACGACGTACAGTGTACGTCGCCAGCATCGGGGCTGTTTAAACAGACTCTCGGCGGCTTTTTCCCACCGGGACTCTGTTTAAACTTGTAAAGACGACTGTCGGCTTTACAACAGAAGCAATTCTGGAGACTCAGCTGTCGCCAGATCACTTCTACTGTCCCGTGAAGGGGCCACCCCCGCCGTGCTTCCTGGGCGGGCCCGGCTTCTTCGGTATCGGCGGGGAGCTGGGGAGGAGTTGGACAAACCTCCGTTCGTCGATCCCCCTCCCTGTTCTATGGGACCGGGAGCGATGCAGATTACATCACTTCCCGGTGCAATAGCTGTCAGTGTAGGGCTCCCTGCTATCACATTGGGGGCTTATAAGCCCCCCTATGTGATAGCAATTAAAGTAAAGTTTAAAAAACCAAACAGTTTTTATAATTAACATTAAATAAAATAAATCTAAAAATAATAAATACATTTTGTAAAGTCCTCCGCGAGCACACGCATCGGATGCGCCTAATTATGAAAACGACGAACACACTACACATGTTGGGTATCGCCGCGCACACCGGAGTGAGAGCAATAATTCTAGGGCCAGTATTTTTGGGTATCTCTAAACGGACGACCTGCGGGGCTTTTAAAGCATCGTCTATGGACTTTTTGGGGTACTGACGTTTGTCGCCGTTTCACGGGTGCACACAATTTTTAACCTGGGCATGTTGGGTATTTATTTCCTCGTTGTACCCTCATCTTTTATATTTTATTTAAAAATGGGTATTTTATTGTGTTTTGGGGCACTCAAGTAAATTTTTCCATAAATTGTGGGGTTTGATAAGGAGTTGGGCTAATATCGTGCAACATAAAAATTTGCAACTGCCAACATTTTATTCTATAGTGTCTTGGCTTTCAGAAAATATATAATGTTTGGGGGTTTTTAAGTAAGTTTCAGGCCTAAAATGTGGAATATAACATGGGTGCAAAAAAATGTAAAAAAAAAGGCTTCAGTCATGAAGGGGCTAATGTCACTTTAACTTAGTGTGGGGAGTATTAGTTAGTTGTCTGTGCCACTCGGTGCTAAAAAGGGAGCGGTGTTTACTCCAAAACGTGTTGTGTGTAAATAAACGTTTTATAGTCGAATTTGGAGTTCCCAATTTTGGTGTTTCTACAAACTCAAGATTTGTGTACTATGTATTCCCATGGCTACTTATTATGTCAAGCGACACTGGCCTGCCAGTCACTCCAGGGGAGACTCTCCATGTTGGCATCTTTACTTTTAATTTACTTATAGGTTTAGGAAGGATGTTATTTCCTTCATCACATCAACTTACACTTAAGGATAGTTCAACGATGATCCATTCATGAATTTCTCTGTATACACAGCCTGATTGCCGTGGTACACAGTACATGAGATTTCTTCCAAATCAATAAGGTGAGGAGCATAAGTTTTATCTGATCTCTGTGGAACTACTGGTACTCTCAGGAGGCACCCTTGTTATTTGTATCTTTTCAGCATTGCTTGTACCTGTATGGAGGGACTGACAAAGCGGCAGCCTTGGAGGACAGGTCTGCAGCATTATTGCCCCACTGTCAAGACTACTTTGCTTCTACCCCATGTGACACAGGGGTTTGCTTCTGTTGTGGATGTTTTAGCTCAGGTTATGTAACCTGAGAGCAGCACCTTCTTCATGAAGAAAGTTAAAAATTATGTATGTACCTTAAAACTGCAGGCACATAAAACAGGTTTGGCATATCACAGATCGGTAGCCCCCGTTGAAAAATACATCTTAGCATCTAATTGGTACAGTTCTACTTTAATTTTTCTGTCAACATTTTGTACAAGCATACTGCTAATGTTTGTCAATGGCAAGCTTTGCAGCCATAAACACTTAAAAGGAAAAAAAGTTGCACTGGTTTCATATACAGGAGTGCTTACCAAGAATCCCAGACGAGGCCTATGCAATCCCTGGATCTCAGTACATAAAAGCTCAATTAAGATACAGATGAGCACTCCATGAAAGGCTTGCTTCAGGCTTCGCTCTGACACCTTTCAATGGATGTGGCCTAAAGCGTCTGTGTAAGTTTGATGCTGTAGTCACAGTCACTTGTACTGCTCCTCCCAACATGCCCTTGCCCCAAAGAGAAAGTGACGCACTGGTGATGCTGGATACATGTCTGCATTTAGCACTTCAGGCTTGTTATTTATGGGCAAATTAAAAGCACAGTAACAGTACCCTAGCATGGCAGCGTAAGTGCAATCCAGGCCATCATGTTATGTCTAATGAAGATTCAACAACTGAATCCTAATATTTCATTACAGTGTGTCATTACAATGCAAGTACTGCATAGTCTAGTTAGGTATGCTTGGTGTTACAGAACATAAAGCAGCTAACTGACATGACAACATTACCAGGTATGTTACAGGTTTGCTTCTTACCATGATACTGTTCTGCAGTTTTTCTCCTCAGAGCCTCCAAACTCTCCTCAGTGTCTGCCCATTCCAGAACCAGCCTTCGTCCATATAAATGTGTACTGTGACAAAGTGCATTAAATGCTCTCTGTGTTGGGGGGCACAAAATAATATTAATATTAAGGTCAGTAGCGTGACAAGTACAAAAAAAATTAAAACAGAGACTTTAGGAGGTCTATGCTAAGAAGCATGAAAAAAAAAAAGAATAGGAAACAAAGCAGTACAATATTTTTTCAATTATAGATGCTGGCTTGACTTCTAAAACTTAAGATTCCAAAAGGTATTGCTACCTAAAGCTTGGCACTGTCCTGCTCCAGGTTATTCTCATGCAGTGTTATTTTCTTTAAATATATCAAATATATTAATTCTATTTCTGGGGTCTCAACGTACCGCTTTTCTCACAGTATGACGTACATTGCCACCGCTGCACCCTCCCCTTAGAGTTATATAAAATGTATTCCTTTTACTTTATTAAAATCTTTTTATTGTTATTAAACCCTTTCTTCCTCTTCCTTTAGTACCCATTCCATTTTAGAGGGCGGTACCTCATTTCCTATTTACAACTCAATTGACCATTGTAATCACTCTACTTTTGTCTCTATTTGCATTCCTCCATCAAATCTCTCTTTTCCCTAGCTCTAACTAATAAATCCATTGGCACTCATGGCCAACACGTTTTACACCTATCATCAGGGGTCTGTGCAAATTATGGCAACAAAAAAGTAATAGTGCTTTTGTGCCATTACCAGGAAAACAAACTGTCCTGCTCCTGTTGGTTTATGAAGGCATCCTATAATAAAAGGTCTCAGCCACTTCTGCGATACAATATAATATAAAATAGAAACACATCAACATAAACTAACATTTCTTGAATGACGCACATAGAATATTGACTGGAGTATCCACACGGTCTTGGTATAAAAATAAAGTATGGCCCTTACCAAAAGGTCACACTTTGTCAAGTTCTCCTATACTAAATATACAATGCAGGGATTGATGGTTGAAAACATCAGAGATCAGTGCCTAAATGTCGATTGTTAAGCCTGGGAGTGACTGTGCAGCAATATAAACAATGTGAAGGATCAGAAATGAATGTATCATACATTTTACACTAAATCCCCTTGTTTCCTAAAGTGTTCCACCATGTATAAATAGTATATTTGTTAAAACATAATTATATAATTGCTAATTTCTAATGATAGGGCTTATAAAATCATATCCTCAGAAACCCAATTATAAAAATATTGGATATGTATGTGCCCAGCGATTTTTTTGCCATGTTAAAAAAAAAAAAAAGCCTTCAATTTCTTACAAATACCAGAAAGCTGAACATAACAAAAGTCAAATAGGTCAAGGACTTAAATCATTATGGACACTGGTGTCCACAGATTTTAAGGAGAGCATTCCTTCTTTTATGGGTCACAGGTTGCCTTTGCTTGTATCTTGTGTTAGAAGTAGTAGAGGCTGTGACATAACAGATTTGAAGACAGAGGCCGGGTCGAGACGCAGTGTGAGCCAAATATTACCAGAACTGAGAATGTAAGAGTACAAATGAGGATGTAATTGGAAGGTCTTGCTCAACATAAACAGCATCTAAACATCACCCCCCTCTGCCTGTTTATTTACACAGATGCATCACTTGTTAATTGGGAAACAGGCAGTGTGAAAACAGCTATTTAGGGGGAGGTGGGAGTTTGAAAACAGGATCCCCATGTCTGTAGGGGAAAAAAAAAAAGTGAGGCACAGAAGATAAGATAATGGAGAAGAGCTGCAGAAAAGACTAGCAGAGGCACTGCTGTATAAAAGGTAGGCGCAGGGGGTGAGGTAAGACATGTGTGAGAAAAGCACATACATGCAAATGGTAATTGAGTACTGTTAGTTTCCCAAGAGCCTCATTATCCTCATCATTATTTAATGGTAGTGGGAGCTATATGCAGGAAGGGAGTTTCAGCATATTGCTTTGTACAGCCATGTAAATCGGTGTTAGAGCCATGCCTTCTCTTATTCTCACCTTAGCATCTTGTTTTGTTACAAAGTCCACAAAGCCAAAACCACGATGTGTTCCTGTGCCAGCTATCTTCTTTGGTAGACGTACAGTCTTCAGTTCACCGAAAGTGCTGCATGAAAAAAACAGCAGCAGATGTGATGACCTAACTCCAATACAAACATTTCAAAATGTGTAAATATGCAGCTTTCATTTGACTTCTACGTTATGAGGCTGCCATAAAGGTCCTTGTTCAGGCACTTCCTGTTTAAGCCCCCATCCACACCTAGGAGTTTTGTCGTGCATTTTGTTACTTGACAAAAGTCTCGACACAAGAAATCCAATTCATTTCAATGGCCCCTGTTCACACTCGAGCGTGTAAAACGCCTGCCGCTGGAAAAAGTACATGAGCTTCTTTCGGGCAGTTTACAGCGCGTTTGGCCCAATAGACTTCAATGGAAATGTTCGGAGATGCAGGAAACAAGCATTTTGCACATTTCTGTGCACATTTTAATGTGCCTTTGTCTGTTGACTGCAATGTCTTTCAATCTGCCAGCTTTTTCAATCTGCATACATGAAGACGTGCATCTAACGCCTAGACGCGCATCTAGAAATGAGCAAAACATGCTAGACGAAATAGTGTGCAAAAAACGCTGACATCTAGGTGTGACTGCAGGCTAAGGGTCTTTATCGTCTACTGTCTATCTCCAATTTGTGCTCTTGTATTGTCACCCCATCAAACAGGCATCCAATGGGGATTAAAAGTGGCTGCATTTTAACACACAGCTATTTATTACAGGCATTTATATAGCGTACACATTTTATGCAGCGCTTTACATACTGTTGATTCACATCAGTCCCTGCCCTCTAGGAGGTTTTTATAGTCTAAGGTCCCTAACTTCACATGCATACACAGACATACTGTAGGCAAGACAAGAACAATCTAACCTACCAGCATGTCTTTGGAGTGTGGAAGGAAACCGGGCAAGTCAGAGAACATGCAAACTCTATGCAGGTAGTGTCCTGGTTGGAATTTGAACCTGAGCACCCCCAGTCCTGCAAGGGATGAGTGCTAACCACTAAGCCACTCTGCTTTATGTAGGCATGGCCCGCTGCTGTCACAAACAGGAAACTAGCCATGAGCAAGCATTTGTAGACGAGATGTAGTCGTAGAGAGGTTGCAGGAGATCAGCAACACTGAGATGTAACAAAAAAATCAATTATGCACTGATATCATTCATGTGTGTATATTGAGAAGTTCAATCTAATTAGTGGGCTAAAAAAAGTTGCTGGAAGGAGAAAGAACATGTCACAGAACTCAGGAACAGGCCCTCTCGCGAGGGTTCTCTGCAACTGTATGAAGGAGCATACTGCTAGGGAGTGCAGGCTCCACACTGCGCTTTTCATTTTATAAATAGAACATATAATAGCAGCGTGTTGTGGCATACCTTCAGAAATGTCCTGTGGTGTGCAGAGAATATGACTTTATAAATAGGCACCAAAGTAATCTTTGCAACTTCACCTTTTTAGGCCTTATTCACAAGGCCGATTTGGGTTGAACACCATCAAGAATCAGGATTTCTCTCCAGCGGGGATGCAAAGGCCAGAGCCAGCAGCCTGTACAATCAATAACAGGTTGATGGGCGTCACAACTGTCCGCATGTAATCGCCAGTGGTTACATACAATTAGGGACAGATGATTAACCCTAGACACAAACTGTCTGCATCCAGGGCCGCTCATCTGTCCCTAATCACTTGACACCACTGTGATGTGCAGTTACATATGAACAGCCTTGGTACAGGCTGCTAGCCATCTGTCCAGCCCTGCTGAATAGAAATGCTGGTTCTTTGTGGTGTGCAGCCCAAATTAGCTTTGTGAATGAGGCCTTAGTGTGGGCCCCATCTCCGAACACTGCAAAAAAAATGAAAAAATCTCTTTGGTGGAAACAAAAGATAGGCAATTAATTTACCTTACGCCGGCTTCTGCCTGTGGCACCTAGGTGTGGGTGACGTCACCTTCCAGGAAATGCTGAGTAGCTTGAATCTTGCTAGAAGATGCTACTGCTCTGTATTATAGTGTCATATTTGGCATTTCCTGGGATCTCGTCGGAAGCATGGTGACATCACCCCCTGCAGTACGGAGGCTGAGGGTAAGGCAAGTATATTAAACTAACTTGTCCTTCCCCCCTCCCCACAGGTGTTATTCTTTTTTAGGATGAAGGTGGGGTCCACACTATATAAAACAGACCTTACATGGAGTGCAAGGTTTGCTTTAAAGAAGATTCCCTACAGCATCTTTTAGGGCAGTGGTGGCGAACCTTGGCACTCCAGCTGTTTTGGAACTACAAGTCCCATGAGGCATTGCAAGGCTCTGACAGCCACAGACATAACTCCCAGAGGCAGATGCATGTTGGGATTTGTAGTTTTGGAACAGCTGGAGTGCCAAGCTTCGCCACTACTGTTTTAGGGCGTGTAAAGACTGACACAGTGAGGGATCACATGCAGCACCCTCATTAAAACAGTAAGCATTGACAACAGTAATCACCCAGTGCTTGGTCCTGTCCCAGGCATTGCACAAACTCAAAAAATATTTCACCATAAGCATATCTACCTGAGACATCTGGTAAATATTCTTCTTAAAATGCCAAGTGCTCCCTTTGGGCATTAGTTCACACAAGGCATTAGGCCCTGTAGGCATGGGTGTCAAAATGGGGCGCCTAATATGCATTGCTAGCACTCCCAGATGCCCTAAGCTGAAACAGCACAGTAAGCTGTACAGCCATTTACACACGAGTGCTCAGTGAAGCTTACCAAAGATTTAGCACAGGTACTACTTAAAAACTGTGGGATGAATGAACCAGATGTTAAGCATGCAGAGAAATGTAAACACCCGTGAAAACAGCTCTCTCTCTCTCTCTCTCTCTCTCTTTAAAATATCCCTATGTATGATAAGATATAATGAACAGGTTTATTATATAAAAAAAACCTCACATTTTTAGATTTACTGGTCCTTTAACCACTGCAATTCCCCATAATAAAGCAGTTTTCAGTAGAATATATGAAATATTTTTCTTTGCCCTGCTCTCCCCAGGTCTCACTCCCTCCTCTACCAATAGTTCATGCTACAGGCAATAATCCTGTTACAGAAAAATAACAGAACGAATGTGGGATGCATTAAATCCTCACAGGAATGTTTTTCTTACAAGAAAAGCCTTTACTGCCCCAGACATTAAATCTTGCAGCCAACTCCTTTCAGAGCCCCCTCAACACCTCAAAATATGCTATCCCTCTCGAGATCTTTAAAAATAGTGTTTAGTCCACACAATGTGTCTTCGGTGCATACCAAGGACGTACAGAACAACAAAAGATAGTCAAGCGTGAACACTGCAGTGTTGCCAAACAGTGCCGTGAAGAAAAAAAAAAAGACACAAGGTCACTCAGTTCCATTGGGCACAACACTACACACACTGCACAACACAATACACAGATATTCACAATCAGGTGGTAAAAAGATGACAAGATGTTGTAACATTACACACAGCATACTAATGTAGGAATCTCCCAACATACACTTGCTTGAAGCAGAATTCCAAAGCACATTCAAGAAAGCACAATACCACAGCTCCCCCTGGTGAACATTTTAATTTAAAGCAAGACAGCGGAAAAGACTTACTAACCTGAACAGCTCTCGGATTTCCTTAACAGTAGCCTGGAAGGGAACATTTCGAACCAGAATCTTTGAGGTCTTCTGTTTTTTGCTTGTCTGTTTTTTACGTTCAGTCGACACCTTTGCTCTGCAATTAATAAAATATTTATTTTAATGTTACATGTATCCTCTAATGCTAAAAACAAATGATTACTTCTACATTATACTTCAACAATTTATAGTAACTGATTTATGTACTTTTTACTCTCAGTAAAGATCTATTTATCAACGATTGAAAGGTTGTAAATTTCCCCTATTAAATATTGAGTAAATAAAAAAAGAAGGGCAAAAAAACATTCAGCTTAATGTAGTTGTGTTAAATCTTTTAATTCCAAGAATTAAAAATGGCAAAAAAATAACTGGCATCTCAGACTAGCAAGACCTTCAATAAGAAATAATGGAGTTCACCAACTGTGACCTGCAGCTCTCATTCCAGCATAGCACCTGCGATATTTAAAGGCCTTACATGTGGTTAAATAGGCCACATCTACACTTGTAATAGACTTCTGTGATAAAAAGTCAAGGAGACTAAATGGCGGGGAAGAAATGAAAAGTGAAATTCTAGTTTAAGTTAAGGGGAAAAAAATGTGTCTATATTGTGTATGGGGGGAGAGAATGAATATACTGTACATACAATATATGTGCAACAAATTTATTAAGAAATACCGCCATTAGGGATGCATCGAAATCTCGTCTGCCAAAACATTACAACAATGAAACTGCTGGAAATAACTGCTGGAGGATGCAGGTTTTTAATTTATTTCGGTATTATTTCGGTATTAAGATTGAACTACATGGAAATTTCAACCTACGGAACTATTATAAAAGCACTGTTCACTTTATAACAGGGGTGGCAAACTCAAATTCATCGGGGGCCGCATCAGCAGTATGGTTACCCTCAAAGGGCTGGTTGTATAGGACTATGCATCTACTCTTTATTATCATAAATTGCCTCTGCATTCAGTTGCTACTGGTTTTAATAATTTAAGTAATAACTAGCCTTGAAAACATCCACAAGAAACTTTATTGGAGACTGCTCAGACTGCAACAGAAATCCCTAATCTGGCGTTTTCAAGTGACAGCTGTCACCTAGTCAAGTTAATGATCAGGTGACAGCAGCTCCATGTAAACGCATGCACACCGCATGTAATGATACGTGATATGATTACATGCGTCCAGGGAGAGTGATTGATTCCTAGCGAAATGTAAACATATCACGTATCTTTACATGCAACTTCTGTCACCTGATCATTAACTTAGGTGACAGCTGCCATTTGTAAAACGCCAATTTAGGGATTTCTGTTGCAGGAAAACGCAAGTTCCTGACACAGAAATCCCTAATTGCACCTAAAATAAAGGTGTGAATGCAGCCTAATTGTGGAATCTGGCCTTGGGGCGGCAGGGAGAGTAAATCCCTGACCATACACATACCTTGTTCTTGCAGTGTTCTCTTCCCTTCTCTTCTTTACCAGCGGGGGAGGGGCGGCGATTTGCATATGAATGAGCCGCGATATTTACATATGAATGGGCCGCGGCTTATTGATATGCAAATTATCGCGGCCCATTCATATGTTAATATCTCGGCCGGTAGCGGGGGAGTGCAGGCTGCAGGAACAGCACCAAACAAGCTCCGGAAAGAGCACAGAGTAGAGAGGGCTGGGGAGGAGGTGTTTCTCTGGCCTCCCCCACCAGCGCCCTCTAGTGTCTACTGTGTGGTAGTGCCGGCTCTGCTCGCTACCACACAGAAGACACTGCTCTGCACAGAGTCGGCATAGCGAACCGGCCTTGGCTGCTGTGCGGGCCACATTACAAGGTCCGGCGGGCCGGATTCGGCCCGCGGGCCTTGTGTTTGCCACCCCTGCTTTAGAATGAAAATCTGTAACCATAAATGTCAAAGTGGCTTGGTTAGCAACTACTTTTGTTTTTAGCAATGTATGGGGCATCAGTTAGTGTGCTATGTTACATTATCCTTTTTATAAAGACTAGTTTTATGTATTTCCTGGCGGTCAGTCAAAACTGTGACCTTATACAACTGTGAATATATTTGTTGGCACCCCTTTATGAACACAACCTACAATTTTCTCTAAAGTCATTTTGGATTTGACTAAATATTTTAAATAATAAAACAAATGAAAATGGCATGAATAAAAATGATGGAATCCTTAACCCAGTATTTTGCTAAACAACATTTAGAGGCAATTAATGCAAACAAGTGATCTCTGCACCTCTCAATGAGACTCCAGAACCTGACGAAATGTAGTTTGGTCCACTCTTCTTGAGCAAACTGCTTCAGTTGTCTCTGGCATAAAGGATGCCTTCTCCAGATCGCAGGATTCAGCTCTTCCCATAGATGTTCGATAGGAATCAGATCAAGGCGCAAAGAGCTTACTTCAGAACACTCCAACGTTTTGTTCTTAGCCAGGGGTAGGCAATCTAGAAACTCCAGCTGTAGTGAAACTGCAAATCCCACCATGCCTTTGAGAGTCATGCCTGTGGCTGTCAGTCTTGCATCATGGGACTTGTACTTCTACAACAGATGGAGTTCTGAGTTTGCCTACACCTGTTCATACTCATTCTTGGGTACTTTTGCTGTGTGGTTTGGGTCATTATTCTGTTGGAGAACCCACGACCTGCCTCTGAGACAGAGCTTTGTGACATTGGGCAGTATGTATTGCCCCAGAATTCTCTGACAGCCGTGAGATTTCGTTGTGCCCTGTATAGATTCAGGGCACCCTGTGCCAGACACAGCAAGGCAGCACCAAAACATAACAAAGCCTTAGAGTAGATATGGTTTTCTTTGGAAGCTTAATTATTTCATCTGTGAACATAGAGCTGATGAGACTTTCTAAAAAGCTCCAGGTTTGTCTCAAAGGACATTCTTCCAGAAGCATTACGGAATGTCAATTTACCATGTCAGAAAATACCAGTCTAGCTTTTTTATGTTTTTCTATAAACCGTGGAGCCCTCCTACATCTTTTTCCTTTAAACCCACTGCCGTTCAAAAACCAGCAAGCAGTGCTATTGGACACTGATGTCAAGACCCTGAAAGTTTAGCTTGGATCACTGGAAGTTTTCCTTGATCTTTAACTATTATTCACACCATCTATCTACTGAATCTGGGGTCGATTTTCCTCTTGTGGACACGTCATGTTGGCTACACTCCCATGGATCTTAAGCATCTTAATATTTGCAACTGTTGTCACAGGTATATCAAGTTGGTACACACCATGATACCAAACACCAGAGTGACTACTTTTCTCCATTTAAATAGGCTGACTCACTGATTACAAGAATGAACCCATATGTTATACTAACTACACAAAACAATTAGTTTTAAATATCCCTATGATCCAATTATTTATCTTTTTTAGGGGTACCAAGAAATCTGTCCAGGCCATCTCAGAATATCTTAAGTAGCAAAATCAATAATTTATCTATTTTCACACTCTCTTTGCTTTACTATGGAGTAAAGCAATTCAAGTGAAATTAAAAGCAATTGCCCCTTGGTATACCTGCAGGCCTTTGGTGTGCAGCAATTGCTTTTAATTTCATCACTTTTCAGGAGAAATTAAGTATTGCTTCAATTTGCTGTAAGGGTATGAACAAATCTGTCCACATCTGTATATCTCACAGCACACACACAGGCTGATATAATTTCTGACATCTTTGATCTTCAGAAAGCCTCTGGAAATGCATATACAGCATTGCAAAGCCAGAGTACATTACTTTCACACCATATGTACAGACTGAGCAGGTTACTTGTGCAGTACATTTTATGCAGACTTACTGAGTTGCCCGTTCAGACAGTTTGACTTCCAACTGATGTCCATCTACTGTGCAATGCTGTTGAAAAAGAAACACGCACATAGTTATGGGTTTCACCATAAAGATTTACTGTAAGTGCCAACAATGCACATATACTGCACCAAACCGCTCCCATAATTTCGCAATTCAAACACAACGAGGGGAATTCACTAAAAAAACTGGAGCAGACATGTGTCACAACCAATCAGCTTCTTTTCAATCTCTAAAGTAGAACTACAACCTCCTATTCCTTACAGCCAACAAAGGTGCCATCTTAGCCTATCTTTGGATTGCAGTTACCATGATGCATGTGATCAGCTATGACACCAGCCATTTGAGGGCTTGAAAGTTTGGTTGAGAGCTGAAATAAGCACACTGGAATCCTTGAAAGTTGGCATGCCTTGAAAGTGGTCAGGGGACTGATTCTGCAGGGAACTGAAACTTTCAAACATCTAGCAAAAGCATCCATTATAAGCATTATTTCAATCGCTAAAAATAGCTTTGACTTTAATATCAATTCAGGGATAAGCCCTCAAGCTCATCACCATCCTATCTGAAACGGGTAAACTTACTGGTCACTGAGGCGCTCTTATTGTTCATGTGATCAATCAGTGGCATTAATTAGTGAGCCTCAAACTTTCACCACATAAGCTCCTCTCTGAGTTGGGTTTGCATTTGTAAATCACACAGCTGGCTGCTGTGTTAGGAGCTCATCATCTCAGGAACTGTGCAGGGCAGACAACAGGAGTCTAATAGACCCCTGATGTCTCCATAAAGGGTACCTGTCACCTGCCTAATGCCATCACAAAGGGGGATTTTTAGCATCCTCATGGCAGCAATCAATTTAAGTAAAAAAAAAAATTATAAAAAAAAGTGAAAACCTAAAATAATTTAAAAAAAAAAAAAAACACACTTTAAAGTGCGTTTTGGTTTTACACTATAGAAGCTCACTTAGAAGAACATGAAAAAAACATACTTGCAACTGTCGGAGAGCTTTTTGTGCTTGTTCGGGCTTCTTATATTCCACAAAACCAAAGCCCATAGATAGGAGATTACCTGTAAGAAAGGGAACACCTTAATATGACAAAGGGTATTTAAAAAAATAAAATAACACTTGTGTTAAAATGTCAAAATAGAGGGAGAAAATAAAAAAACTGACTTTTTAATACAACATTAACTGAACAGATTCTAATATACTCAACTACGTTACAGCAAAAACAGTGGAATAATAACCTCAGAGAACAGAAGGCCGACACATTCAGCATGTTCAAGATGTAAGTATCGCCAAACATGGGACAAGATGAATATCTAAATAGTCTGTCATTGTGTTAAAAGGCTTTTTAGTTGCACTTTGTAAAAAATATTCTAGAAATTACTTCTTCTTAAAGTCAGTAAATTCAGGTAACATCCCCACAGACTCATTCATTTAGTTTACCAAAAATCCAGGTAACATCACACAGACTTCATCCAGACTACCAAAGGTCCGAGTAACATTCTGGGGAATGTTTGGACATTTCCCAGAATGTCCAATGTCTGAGTAACATTACATGGACTAATTTACCCAGATTACAAAAAGGACCAGGTAACAGCCCACAGAACTATATGCCCAGACTAGCAAAGGTCCAGCTAACATTCCACAGACCTATTAGGCTAGATTACCAAAGGTCAAGGTAACATTCCTATTTAACCACACTAAATAGGCTTGCTAACATCCAACAGACGCCCCAGATATTCACCCAGATAGCCAAAAGCCTGGGTAACATTCCACAGATTCATTCACTCAAATGACCAAAAACGCAGGTGACATTTCACGGACATAGATCAACCAGACAATCAAAAACTCAGGTAGCAGTCAAAAGATTAATTCACCCACCCAGGCTACCAGGTAACATCCCCAAGACCCATCAACCCAAATTACCAAATGTAATCCTACAGATTCATTCACGCAGATTACCAAAAGTCTGGGTAACATTACAAAGACTCATTTAGTCAGACTACCAAAAATCCGGTAACAATCCCCATATAACCAAATGTACTCATTTACCCAGACTGGCAAAGGTCTCACCTTGTTTGTCTTTCTTTTTTGAAATGCTACAAGATTTCACAGGCCCAATTTTCAAAAATACCTAAGGGAAAAAAGTACAAGGTTATGATGACCTGCTAATAAGAGAAATATTGTTGTCCATTCATTTTAAAAGGAGTGTCTAACATGTTCTAAAAAAGGATCATGCCTTGAAAATGTTATCAAGCAAAAACTGGGACAGACACATTTCTTACCTCCCTAAGTGTTTCTTCACTGGTTGTAAAATTTAGGTTTTTAATAAATAATGTACATCCAGGAAGTGTTTCTTCCTCCTCAGATTCACTTTTTATGTCAGTCTGAGCTTCTTCACGTCCTGTGGAAATGTCACCTATGAAAAAAACAAAAACTGTATATTAAGGGTCTGTATGTAAATGTTCTGATTAGAGCTGCAGCTAACGATTATTTTCAAAATCGATTAGTTAGCCGATTATTAAGTTCGATTAATCGGTTAAACAATTAAAATAAAGTTTAAAAAATGGCTCCAGTGATGGGACTACTAGTTTGTATTGAGGTTGTAGTCCATCACAGGAGCAAGCTTGGAGCGGTGGAAGTAAAAAAGAAAAAAAAGATAGTGTGGTGTGCAATTGTGGAGCTGTGAACAGGGCCAACTGATCGGAAGCCGATTAATCGATTATTGAAAAAGTTGACAACTTTTTCAATAATCGATTATAATCGATTATGTCGATTAGTTGTTGCAGCCCTAGTTCTGATATAAACAGGACTCTTGTATTAACCATAAAATCATTTTCTTAGAACCTATTGAGGGACACAGGAAGTGTTTTACCTTTGGGTTATCCTGCTGCCTACAAGGGGACTGGACGCTGGCAAATAAACTGCAGGCGAGCCCAAAATAACCATTCCCACTATAAGCATGCCTCAGTTTTTGCAGCAAAACAGTACCAAGAGTATGATCATAAAAAACACAGGAGTGGGACCTGTGTTCCTCAATGTAATCCAAAAAAATAATTTTACGGCAAGTACAAAAATCCTGTTTTCTTTTTCATTCACTGAGGAACATAAGAAGTCTTTAACCTTTGAGAAATCCAAAAGCTGTCCAACTGAGGGGTGGGCAACACCCCTCAGTTGCCTATCAAAAAGCCCAAGAAGCAATCATAGATCAGGTAGAGTGGACCTTGATAGGAAAGAGTGGAACCCGATCCTTGAGACCATATGCTTGAATAATGGTCTGTCTGAGCCACTTAAAGATGGAACGAGAATCTGGCGCATTCCAAAATGGGAATCAGCCTTCCTGAAAAAAAAACAGTGGCTGAGAAGTGAACTAGCATAACACGAAGCAAATCCAGACAATGGAGGGGACATTTCCTTTTGGTGAGCTGGACAGAGGGACAGAAGAACAATATCCTAGTTGAAGTGGAAGGCAGAAACTACCTTATGCAAGAAGGAAGTCCTGGGCCTAAAAACAGCCTTGTCCCTTAGCAAAACCAGGAAGGGTTCCTTGCATTATAAGGCCACCAGTTCAGACACTGGCCTTAGATCCCACAAAGTCACAGGGGAAAAGACGGGGAGGGGAGCTATAGACTTTTTGTGCAAAAGTCTTAAATAAACAGTGAGAAGCCAAAGGTCTCAAAAACAGAACCCGAAAGGGTAGCACCCTGACCCTTGATAATGCTAAGAGCCAAACACTGGTGCAGACCAAGCTGCAGGAGAGAAATTGTCCTACAGACAAATGCCTGGTGTGGAAGCCCCAAGGCTCACACCAAGCGAAGTATGCTCCCATGTCCAACAACAGACCTTGCAAGAAGTAAACTTCCTAGCATCACAGGAGTCAGACTCAGAGATGCTCCACTTTCTACAGAACCTGTGCATCAAACAGACACGGCATCAAAGCCAGCGACCTTGAAGCAGGATGGCAAATTGGTCCTTGGGACAGAAGATGCGGACTATCCAGGAGTCAACATCTGCCAGGAGTCTTACTCGGTCGGTGTACTACATCAGCCTGGGCTCATCAGTAATGAACTAGAGCAACACAGAACAGAGTATCTGCAGCTGATGGCTCAGAAACTGCTAGGGCTGCGGGAACATCAAATATAGAATCTGCAGGAGATTGCAGGAACGCACTTGAGGGCTCTGCAAACAGAGCCAGTAAATAACTGATTTGAATCATAAAGTCTTGCATAACCATGATAAAAACCTCAGCTGAGAGGGTCCAGCCACTTCCAATAGAACCAAAGAGAGCTGACTCCAAGAGCAGAGGAAAACATGAATTCATGCTGCAGAAGTGCAGTCAGTTAGTAGAATGTGAACCTGGGACACCGGTACAACAGGACTGCTCCCCCTGTGTCTAGAGTATGACATATTGCAACCGCGTGGTGACGGGCAGCAGAGTGGCGTTGTGGTTATCACTTCCCGGTCAGGACACTATCTGCAAGGAGTTTGCATGTTCTCCCTGTGCTTGCATGGGTTTTCTCTGGGCAATCTGGTTTCCTCCCACACACCAAAGACATGCTGGAAGGTTAATTGGCTCCTCTTTAAATTGTTCCTGTATGTATGGATGTGAGATAGGGACCTTGGACTGTAAGCTCCTTGAGGGCAGGGACTGATGTGAATGTGCAAATATGTAAAGCGCTGCGTAAATTGTCAGCACTATATAAATACCTGTAATAAATAAATAAAAAATGAGGGCAGGCCTCAGGTACTCACAAAACCCAGACACCGTGTAGCAGGTGGAGGAAAGGATGGCCAGAGCTGACCAAGGTTACTGTAGGCCGGGAGCAAGAACACAACGAAAGTTGGAGCTCCACAGTCTCTTTTAAAGCAGGAGCAGCAGTGGGAAGATGCTTCCTTGACGCTGTATAGATGTGCAAGACACTTCACCCAGTGTTAACTCCCTTTGTGGCAAAACCAAAGGGAATGGGAAAGGCATCCAGTGACCTAAGTAATTGAAGTAGCACCCAGTGCTCAGCCCAAATCGGCCTACTCACCAAGTGAGCAAGCGCCGAGGCAATGCCAACAGCTTTGGACCTGAAATGCACTCTGCGGTTAGCGCTTCTGCCTTGTAGAACTGGGGTCACTGGTTCCAATCCCGGCCAGGTCACTATCTACCTGTTTGCATGTTCTCCCTGCACTTGCGTGGATTTCCTCCAGCTACTTTGGTTTCCTCCCACTATCCAAAGACATGCTGGTAGGTAAATTGGCTCCTGTCTCATATGTATGCATGTGAGAAAGGGACCTTAGATTGTAAGCTCCTTGGGGGAGGGACAGATGCACTGTGTAAAGCACTGTGTAAACTCCTAAAAAGAGGCAATGTACAGTTTTGATTGAGTTGAAAAAAATAGAAGAGGTAAATAATATGCTAGCAAAATAAGTTGGTCTTTTTCACAGCAGTGCTTCAGAAGAGACGTCCATCCTCCTAGGACACAAGCAAAAACGGTTATCCTGGGGAGAGATGTCCAATCCTCTTGTAGTCGTATAACCCAAAAGTAAAAAAACTTCCAGACATATTACAATATTAAAAGCAACTCTGTCCCCACCCTAAATAAAAAAAAACTGCATGGAAAAGGAAGGTTTAAAAACAGCTGCTGAAGGACCTTCTGCAATCAACACTTTTATGATATCTGGTTCACTTTCCATTCTTTGGTTCTATTCACCAACACCTATGTCACTACAGGACACAGTAGTAATGCAGGGGTTGGCACGTATAGCAGGTATCAAAGGCTTTTTACTACTAGCAGCTTTTTTTGTTTGTTTGTTTGAAAAAGGTGGTGATGGAAGCGATTGAAACGGATTTAAAGAGTCTGGCAGATGTCAAAAGGCAGAGTAAAAATGCAGCTTTACATCCTCAATTTCAGTGCTGTAAGGAGAACACAGCGGGCACATTTATCTTCTGTCTTCTCACCTTTATCTCCCTCTGCTGTCTTGTCCTCATTTACCAGTTCAGCTTTCTTCCCTGCAGGTGGGGTGTTGAACACATCCATGGGAGCCCATTCCAGGTACAGAGGTACATGTTGAAACTGTAATTGAACAGAAAAAGCTAAAGTTAGCATGCAATGTGCACAATTTAACAAAATAATAAATATCGCATAAAAAAAGTAAATAAAATATCCAAGAAATAAAAAAGGAATTGAACAAAATATGAAAAAAACATGTCCACTCATACAACCTGGCTGCTGCGATTTTCATGACATAGTATGTGTTTCTAAACATTTTAATAATACATTTTTGTATAACTCTCACATAAATTAAATAGATTTTAGAGGGTTGGATCACATTTTTTACACAGTCTATACACAGTAATCAGTGGACCAATTTTCATGGAAATCCTAAAGTTTCAAATGATATTCCACTGCTTCAAGGCAGTCAGCTAGCTCTGCCAGATGTTAGCATGTTATCTGCACTCAAGGATATTAGCTCTTCCAACTCCAAGGTCTCTGATGCTGTTTTCATATGTGTTTTAGGTTATTTCTACGGAGCAAGGCCTAGACAAATCCTCCCAAAATTAAGGATCAAAACTTTAGGAACCAGCAATGTGGCTTTGCTCTCCCAGCATGTGCAGATGGGAGGGGCTGGTCAATATGTTTAAACTGATAGTATACATAGGGTGGGCATGGACCTGCTTGGGTGAACTACTAAAAGGCTATAAGCAAAGTAGCATGGCAGAGAGGGGGGTATTTTGATTGCTCACCAAAGACAAATTTAATAAAAAAGAAAAAAAAGACTGTCGGAAGCTGCTGATGCATTTTACGAGGGGTACTGTCATGCTAACCTGTGCAGAAACACATATACTGTACACCTTTACAATTAGCTTTGCTTGGGATAGGTCTAGAATTGTTAGGATGTGGGTACTCCTCGCTCTCCATCTATGGATTCCACAGAGTGCTAATTTTTGCAGCAGTCTCCCTGGAGTCATGCTTCCCTCTCCCAAAAGTAGAAAGAGGTGCACAACCACAAGTCCACTGCTGAGTCCCTTTCCGTCCCCCACCACAACTTCCACCTGCTGATCTCCTCTGCCACAGCCACATCTCTGCATTTTAAAAATCACATCCTTCATTTAACCTATTTTTTTCTTCATACTATGATGCCTCAATTTTTTATCCTGCCCCCATACTATGGCCCCCTACAAATGCATCACTTTCAGTGCACCCACACCATGCAAGCCCCTCAACTTCAATCTCTCTATAACTGCTTGACAACAGTCAAGCTATTTACCAAATGCAAATAGAAAACCGTTCAAATCAATTGATCCACAGAAAAAATAAGAATTTGTTATGGCTGTTAACTATACTTTATACATTTTCATATCTATTTTGCTAGATTCGCAGTACAATGGTTCTATAATAATGCCCATATGATGGGTATATTTTACAGGTAGTGCAATAAAATGAAGTATGGAATCAGAACAATCAGTTTGAGTCCAAACATCAGTAATTGAAATGCATGAGGCTTACCTTTGTATATGCCAATTTATGGAAGGCTTGCTTGGCTTCAGTTGGTTCAGTGAATTCCATAATGGCAGTTATGCCACCTTCTGGCAGCAACACCCTTCCTAGGTCTCCAAACCGCCCAAACACTTCCTGTAGTTCTGAAACCTGGGTACCAGCTGGGAGATTTTTCACTAAGATCACAGTTTTACTGCGTGATCCAGAAGCCTAATGAAAAGATAATAGAGCACACTGTCAGATACTGAAAGGACTTACAAACCTAAAATCTGACAGATTTACCTCTGTGACGAAGAACAACCCCCTCCCCCAATAATCTAAAATTGCTGGTCTTTTTCAACGTATTCAAATGATACTAAAAGTGTCAGTCACAACATAGTGCTGGAGAGGTGCAGAAAGAACTCATCAGTTCTTAAACAGCTACATTTTATAGAAGAAGCAGTATAGAGTATCCATCATTTTCCTGGAGCAGTTAGGAACAAATGTGACTGAGATATACAAGTCATCATGCTCTCAACAACCAATTTATAGTTTAACATTATCAAAAGTGTCCGGTTAAACATTACAATGAGGAATAGATTAATTCATATTATTGTCAAATACTGCTAAAAAAGCCATCAGAGAAAATATACAGGTATAAAGGAATTGAACATAAAAAACAAAGGGGAAAATTATCATTAGCATTACTGTAATTTAAATAAGCAGGCAAACTACAATTTTTTTTTTAAATAACAAAGTTACCTGGCCAAAAGAATCCAGACTGACTCCATTTTCAATCAGGAACTGACGAACGTCTTGTACTAACTGGGTCTCTCCCAAAGCAACTCTTACAGCTACACTTCCCTTTCCCTCCTGCAGGAAAAGGGAGAATAGATAAACATGTAGGTGGAAAAAAAAATACAAAGCACATATATTTTATACTTGTCATGGAAGAAACCTGGGCAGCACTTACATGGTCCAACACTTTGCTTTTGCTAGTATTGTACTTCTGAGCGATCACCTCGGCCACTGAGCTGGTGCCCATGAACAGCGTATTCCAGTTGTGGGAACTGAAATGAGATGCACATATAACTTAGCAAAGCTTGCAATTGTGCAGATGGGACTGTAGGCAACAAGCATAAACACTAGTGTAAAATATGCTGCACATGCTCATAAAAAACAATGAGAACAAATTTTATGTGTGAAAAAATTATCCTAAAGTTGTATTCAGTCGCTCTTACACCGTGCCAAGCTTGCTCCTGTGATGGACTACAATCGCAATAGAAACTAGTAGTCCATCACTGGAGCCTTTTTTTTATATCCGATTAACCGAACTTAATAATCGGCCAACTAATCGATTATGAAATTAATCGTTAGCTGCAGCCCTACTCTTGTGATTTGCACTTCACCACACTGCTCATTGATACTGCCATTTCTTTTTTCAAGCACAAGGATTCAACATCAACACCCAATTGAATCAATGCTTAATAAATGGCCAAAAAAAATGAAAGCTGCAATATTGAAAACAGGAAATAGTGGTGTCACTTGCCTGGCTATGCAGTGTGGCGAAGGTATCCTCTTTAGACAAACATGACAAATTATTGTAAACAAAACAATTTTCAGACGATTTCTGACCAGAGAGGTCTGACCGTGTAGTATTTTAAGGTGATGCGAAAATTGTACACCTTCTGGCAACACAAACGGCCCTGATCATCAGGGCTTCCCCAGTCTCTACATTCTGTTTTGCCAAGCATATTTTAGGCTCTTATACGTACAGTAACTTTAACTATGGTATTATGAATACATGAAGACATCATGATGAAGACATCAACAATGCTTGCAATTTAACCACAATCCAATGTTTCTAGCCCTCCTGGGTTACAGAAAGTACCTGGAGCTATTGGCTTTTTCCTTCTGAGCCTTTTGTTTCTTGTATCCTGAGGATTCTGTAGACCCTTCAGCTTCCTCTTCTTTTTTTACTGTAGATGGAAGAATGTGCAACATCCGGCCCTGGGGAGCAAAGCTATGGTTAAGAGTCTGAAAGAACTGTTGGGAAAGAGCCTAAATCATCTCAACATAAAAAAAGCAACACTGGTTTTAAGAATGCACATACTGATAGAAATGGGAACAAACACAATTGTGCACTGTTAAAAGGAGAACTATGGGGTCAGTGATGTTCCCCATAGTTCTCCTAAGGGTCACGGGAGAACACAAACTAGCGTCCTCCAGTCACCCAAAGCTCAGTATACCGCGATACTGTCTGGATCCACCCAGCTGCGTGAGTGACAGCTGGCTCTGCCTATCTAGAGGTAGAGCCAGCTGTACCCGCTCCCTCCCCCGTCCGTTCTGCCAGTCAGCGCTGGAGGATCGAACAGGGGAGTGGGTGAATCCCTGCAGGGAGCCGTGAGTGACAGTCACGGCTCTCTGCAGGCACAGGATTGAGAAGTGAGCGAGCGACGGATTGTGTTCGCTCACTTCCCGATCTATTGAGCTGACGTGTGACAGTTTCATTGTCACACGTCGGCTCGAACTATGAGACTGAGTGATTTTCACTCGCCTCATAGGTTCTCCTTTAACCACAACATAGATACACAGTAGTGGGTTTTTTTAGCAACCCCTCCATGACCAGAGGAGGTTATTAAAGCCTAGATCGCCAGCCCAAATTTACCAGCACCGTCAGCTAACATGACAATATTTATAAACCAGTGAATGTGGCATTCACTAAACATTCACAGGTGGTTAATCATTTGCTTCACTTTAAAAAACATGCACCAGAAAGATTCATATGCAGTGAATATTTTACTATAAGATCCTCTAAACCTAATAGTATAATAGGTCAGAATGAGCCTAATGGGAAACCTTTCCAGTATGCTAGTGCCTCATGGCTAGCTCTTGAGATGTCTGTTCAGACTAAATATGTATGAAGGAGACTCAATCTACTGAGGTACAGAAAGAGAGATACAGGGACATCAGCAGACTGGAGAAGTACATTTGTAAACAAACTTCCAATGATTACCAAGATTTGCTGTTTTGGTGCTTACATGGTCAGGAACCATACTTGTTGGTTCCCGATCACTACTCTGAGACCTGTTGGTGCAGGCGACAGCATGGTCTCAGAACTAAAAGCATCCACAGGTGATTGTGAGTAGTTCACAGCTGCAACAATGCTCTGCAGACATTACTCTACAGATTGCAGCCATCTAGAAATTAAAACAGATATATTTAATAGTCAGCGCACACATTTATCAAACGTACAGAAATCATCCTCTACCTATTAACATTACAAAGGAAGAAAAAAAAGCTATAATTCCTCTTCAATATCATCTAGGAAGTTCTCCCGGATGCTCTTAAACCTATTTAGGAAATAATGATCAAGCTTGTACTCCTATCTAACTCCAGCTATCACTAAGATCTTCATATGTAATATTTCAACAATAAATAAAAAGAAACTATTTTTCTAACTAGTCTCGGCCTTTTCTTACACAAAGTACTGCAAAAGATATACAAACGTGTCATATTAAATCTATTTAGCCATTAAAAAAAAAAAATATATCAAACTGCAGGTTTTTTCACTTGATAACAAAAACAAGGAGCTATTATATAATGACATATTATGTGGTGACAACTGCCTACAAACAGTACAGTCTGCAGCAGAAAATTATAAATGAGTAATAAAAGGGCTCCACAATTCCAGGCGCCAGGCATGGGTCAAGGTGACCCTGTACTGTAAATTATTGGGGTTTTAACCGATTAATCGAACTTAATAATCGGCCAACTAATCGATTATGAAAATAATCGTTAGCTGCAGCCCTAGTTTTTTCCTATAACAACTGTTGCGCACCCTGCAACTCAATCTTTCTCTAGGCATTGCTCATTGGTGTCATAACAGTGGCATAAGCCAGCCAGGAAATTACAGATTCAGCATTCACAATAATACTCCTAGACTTAAAAAAATCAGACCTTTTAACACTACATAGTATAAAATATGTCTCACCAAGTTTTGACTTTTTTTTAAACATTATTTGACCCACCTGAAATATCTGTCCATCAACTTCTGCGTAGGCTTTTACAGCATGTTCTGTGATAAGAAACGTAACAAAGGCAAAGCCTTTTGGTTTCTTTGTTAGCTTGTCAATGGGAAAATGGATCTCAGAGATTTGTCCTAGGAGAAAACAAAAGAAGCCATATTAGTTGACAAACATAGTTGACATTACATAGTTGACGTGGTAGATTAAGATTCCTGCAATATTGTACACTTTTTTTTTAACTTTACTTGAAATAAATGCATCTAAAGCCAATAGTTTTTTTTCAAGATGGCCAAAGATCCTGCAAAGGGATTTACTCTCACTTCCTGTTGGGTCTCCATGACAAATCGAGGAGAAATCTCTTGAATGGGAAATGGACAAATAAACTGAAGGGTTTTACCCTTCCCTACTTTATCTACTATAAAAGCAAATTGGCTTTAATTATGCCATAATTACACACTAAATCTTTAGTTTAAACTTTGCTGATAAAAAAAAAAATTATGAAAACTAAAGATGTCATCTAAATAATAATAATGACAATGACAAAAGGTGAATATGTTCATTTGCTCTTTTGCTATGCACAGACAGTTCATTTGCTCTTTTGCTATGCACAGACAGACGATAATCTGTATATGAGATTAAAAAGACCCAAATTGGTGTTCTTGCCAGGTTTTGGAAGCATGACATTATTAGCTTTTAGCATGTGGAAGTGGTTATCTTGCTTTAGTTGGGTATATAGTTTAGTAAGGTATGGGTTACAACATCTGCCAATGTCTTATAAAATATGGTAGAAAGCCATCGTGGATGGAACACTTGTGGGTTTTCAGTTCCTTAAGAGTCTGAAGGACCTGAGTAGACATGTCAGAGGATGCGTGGGTGAGTATAGAGTAAAGCTTTGCCATAGAACATTTAAATTCATCCAGGATCCTAATGGGATCAGATGCAGGAATATTAAATCTCGCTTTAACGGAGGTTGTTTGGGAACAACAGAGCATGGCTTGTTCATCAGCATAGTAATAATGTTGCTGCCATTGGCAAAAAATTCTTAGCATGTCCATCTCAAATGGCGTTCTTCCCATCAGTGAGGCAGAGGTTCAGGTCAGTGCAGAGCTGCTCAACTAGTCTTCAATCACAGGTTGCCATTTAAAAAAGGTCAGAGGCCCAATCTAGCTCAGCTAAATACGTGCTGTTCATTCTTTTTTGTGATAAGAAGAATGCTGGATAGTGTGTCTGTGTGTGTGTGACAGATTTGTAGACCCCACCCCCAAGAGTGTTGTAGGATTGTACAGAATTTACAGATTCTTCCAGGAGTAATGTAAGCTCCAGGAAGTAGCATGTGGATTATGTAGCATTGTTTTGCAGGTGATTAACACAGGGTCAAGGTTGGACCAGGAGACAATAAGAATGGAGGTCGATGTGTGTGAGATGAAGTGAGAGTGGATGAAAATGTTGTTACAATTCATGAGTGGCTTCTAGAGATAGGATAACGTTTCCTTCAGACCTCATAAAAAAAAAAAAAAAAAGCAGGAGAGTACCTTTTTGTAGATGGATAATGACCATTAAATGCGACAAGAAAGGGATTAGTTTTGTTTTGGGTGTATAGTATGTGCAGACAGTGTGCATTGTCTGCATAGCTGCCGCCACATGTGTTGACAATGTGAAAATATAGACAAAGTCAGTGTAGAGACCAGAAGTGTATGTTTGTTGTCTGTTTAGTACTCTTTATTTCATATACAGGTGAAACTCGATTAGAATATCGTGCAAAAGTAATTGCAGTAAGTGCTGCAAAAGGGGCCCAAACCAAGTACTGAGTACATATGCATGCTTGTACTTTTCAGAGGTCCGATATTGTTCTATGTACAATCCTTGTTTTATTGATTGCATGTAATAATCTACTTTTTTGAGGTTGTAGATTTGGGGTTCTTGGGGTTTTCATGAGCTGTAAGCCATAATCATCACAATTATGACAAATCACGGCTTGAATTATCTTGCTTTGCATGTAATGAGTCTATCACATTTATTAGTTTCATCTTTTAAGTTGCATTAGTGAAATAAATGAACTTTGCACGATATTCTAATTATTCGAGTTTCACCTGTATTATTTGGTTTATGAAATAACATAAAATCCATCCAAAACCATTATAATTTCTCTTTAACATAAATACAAGCAGTTTCCAACACTTCCACCTTATATATTACAGTTAATTTCAAATGGCAACCCGCAGATGCTGCAGTGCCGTCCGTCCGTTTTTTTACTACGGGCGGACGGCAAGAGGTTAAATGGAGTAGTCTACATTTGGTACTCTACATTTAATATGACTGAATTGTACTGTATATTTGTATTTAGGAAATGCCTATATCAGACAGATAATACAATATAAGAATGTTATAGCTATAGAATTATATCTTTTTTTTTTAACAGGGAAAGACTATTTTTGAAAGATTTACCGTATTTGGAGAACAGTGCCTCCAGATCTGCCTCAGTGCAGCTATAAGGCAGATTTCGGACAAACAGTCTTCCAGATTCTGATAAGTCCTCCTGCAGCTCAGAATCATTCTTCTTCTGTTCCCATGGTCTACTTTGTACTTTCTCTGAGAATGAAGTGTCCTTTGCTTGCTCAACCTGAAACACTTCTATGTATCTTCCACCTATAAGACATTGCTACAGTATTAACAATCACAGTCTGTTAACATACGAGTGACTACAGCTTTGTTCAGATGTTTATACTGGGGCTTCTAAAGGTGGGCCATACACTCTACAGGGTGAAAGGGATAAAGGGATTAAAAAAACGTACAATCTGCCTATCTTGGACAGGCAGATCGCACTCTCGATCATCGCAAGCCCGCCCCACTGAGGGGCGGGCTTCCGATGACCGCAATGCTGAACGGGCAGTGTGCGCGTGCGCACACCGGCCCATTCAGCATTTATCTTCCGAGCACCGTTCTAACCAGCCGAGAATCGTACGATTCCCGGCTGGTTTTCGAACATGCTGGTTCGACAGAAGACGTGCGACCGTACAGTAGAAACGGTCGCACGTCTCCGTTCACACTGCTCGATTATCGTATGAAAAACCGATCGCATACGATTATCGTACGATAATCGTGCAGTGTATGGGCACCTTAACAGTTTTGATCGCTGCCAAGTGCCCACTAACACTGGAAATGATTTGTGTACTAAACCAAGTGGCTCATTACGCATGTTGAGGTCTAACTATCAGAAGCAGTGTTCAGGCAGTTACTGGCCATTGATTGCAACCCATTTACTTCCTCCAGAACAGCGCTTCAATTACAGCCTCAATGATGCCCTAAAACAAGTCACATTTTCTGATGCATTTGTGTGCAAAGAAACCAATATATGGTTATACAATTCACATGCTTATCATAGAATTCCATTTTAAATGATTGTTCTCTAATAACAAGTAAATTTGTGAATTACAGTAATAAATGACTGCACTTCTAGAATAAAACTAGGCAACTTGCGTGTGTGGAAAAAATAATAACCTTTAACAATACTTTCTCTTGACTCCAACCAAAAACCTAACCAATAAAACTCCTATGTAACATACAGTATAACTGTAATGCAACCGAGCTGTTGAGTCAGGCATATTATCTCCTTTCATATATTAGAACTGGAGTTGAATGTAACTTTCAGTTACAGGTCACAGTGACACCACTGCATCCCAAGATTACAAAATCGATCACTCACCCATATAGTCCTTGTTCTTCTTAAGTGCTTTCTGAATCTCCTCTTCATTTTTCAAATCCACAAAGATATAACCTAGACAACGGAATTAGTACATCAGGTTTTGTTTACCATTACATTGGCAAGACCCTTTCAGCTATTTTCAATAAAATATTGCATAGCACACTAAGTAGGTCTGAACTAGTGACAGACTGAAAGTCTCCAGCTATGATTTTCTTTGCAACAACAAAATGTACAACTTTTAGTAACTGACTAAAGCTCCAGAAAAAAAAAAAAAGTTTACAACTGTTGTATTGTGTGATAAAACTTTGCAATCCTGTGCTTTTGCTCCGACCACTACAATATTTATTTTCCTGTTTTTATCAGTCTTTGGGTTTGCCATGTGTCAGTTCCCCTTCAATAAAATCTTGCTTACCTGTCCTGTCCTTTCTTATCCGTTTGTTATTCCAGCAACCCCCAAGGTATTAAGCATACCATCCTGTGGTTTCCATGGCTTACTTTTGGTTCATTTTTGGCTTCTGCCTACAAGCCCCAGATTTAGTTTGGCAGTCAAATTTCAGTCTTCCTTTGGCCTAGGTTTTGTTATATTATTATTATTACAACATAGAATTTATATAGCGCCAACAGTTTGCACAGCGCTTTACAATGTAAGGAAGACATTACAATACAATTCAAGACAGGATGGTAAGTAGGGCCCTGCCCCTGAGGGCTTACAATCTGAAAGAGGAGGGGGAAATGATACATGAGGAGGTAGCTGTGTGGGGATGAATTGTTTGAGAATGTGATGGTTCAGTGGTTAGGTTTAGGTGGGATAGGCTTCCCTGAAGAGAGGAGTCTTCAGGGAACGCCTAAAGACTTGGGCTAAAGAGTTCCAGAGGATGGGAGAGACTCTAGAGAAGTCCTGGAGGCGAGTATGGGAGGAGTTGACTAGAGAGCTGGAAAGCAGGAGGTCTAGGGAAGAGCGGAGTGGACGGTTAGGGTGATATTTTCAGACAAGGTTTGAGATATATCTGGGGGCAGAGTTGTGGATGGCTTTATAAGTGACTGTTAATATTTTGAATTTTATCCTCTGGGCGAGTGGAAGCCAGTGCAGGGATTAACAGAGGGGGGTTGCAGACACTGAGAAGTTGGTCAAGTGGATGAGTCTGGCAGCTGCATTCATGATAGACTGAAGGGGGGATATCCTGTGTAGTGGTGTAGTAGTATCCTGTGATATCCTGTTATAGTAACTATATATCTGCCATGACAGTTTAAAGTACTTATGCCTCCCTGTTGTAGTTTTCTCTGTGCACTGGTTTATATTCTGCTTCCTGTCAGTACCCTAGTTTTTCTCCAGTCAACCTGCTTTCTTTTTCACCTGCTAGTCCCTTAGACCACAAACCCATCTTCTTCATCTGTTGCGGGTAACAGACCTAATCCTATCCCTCGTATGTCTTTGCCTCTGACTGCCAGATTAGTTGCTTGTAATAGCGGACAATCATTTCTGACTCTTAAGCCTGATTTGGCTCATCTCTCTATTCAGTTCTTAACCTAGTCCTTACATTAAAGCAGAAAAAAAAACGGCTTTAAGTCATAATGTGATAGTTTGCAGGGCATATGAGCAAATTATGATAGACTTCCGTGCCAAATCGATCTCTTCCAGCGATGCACTTCTCTCTCACAGGCACTTTAATCTTCTTCCCAGTATCAAGTGTTCGGCCACTTGACTGGCTGGGCCCTGATGACGTAACTCCCACGCATGCGCACAGGCGTTACTTCATCTCAGCATGCCAGGTCTGTCCGTTGAGCTGCACATGTGTGACTTAGCGTATAGAGAAAAAAAATTGCTGAATGGTAGAAAGCTTTTTTTTGGCAGAAGTCAAACTTTACTTTCACTTTAATTTGCCTTCAGTAATACTAATTCCAGCTATTAAAGACCATAGTTCTGCCCATGGAGTTCTATTGATCATCACAATTTCCTCATTTTTGTACAGAACTTAGTTACATGGCATACGTGAATAAGAGCTAAATAGCAATGTTCATATAACACTTTTCCCAAATCAAGTTTGAGATTTTTCTTTATTAGATGCCCAGGATAGCACACATGTGCCAAACAAGTGGTTACAAGAAGGATCAAGTAGGACCTTACCAGTCTTGTTACCGTAGCAGTTTCTCACTATTCGAATTGCAGCTGGTTTCAGTGGCAGCAGAAATTCACGCACATTTAGCTAAAAGTAAACGTGGGGAAAAAAAATAAGAAACTTAGACATCCTGTAATATCATGATTACAAATAGCTCAAGAAAAACGTATTGAACATAGATAAATCATTTTAGATTTTGCATTGTTACAAGCTATAGTGTGGTTCAACTGGTTTGCTGTATGATACATAGCTGGAGCAATGTTAGCTACTGTGAAAAACACTGTGAAATGTAAATTTCTTCCAGCAAACTAAATAAAAATTAGAGATTTGAGTAAACCGCCAAACTCCAACTAATAATGTATGAGATTGTAGTCTAGCTTAAAAAAAAGTGAGTATAAAGCCTAGATGTTAAGCCTTGTACATGTACATATAAAAAGAGGGAGGTCTGTTGTAAGCAAACAGTGCATCAAGGCTGTTCCTTCATACACAATCCAGCTAAAACTTTTTTTTGTTTTTGAAAGAGAGACTTTCAGGTTTTATTACCCTCTATGCTCCTATTGGAAAGAGGGCACCTGAAGTAACGACTTTTGTACTCGCCCTAACATCCTTTTCTTAAGGTCCATTGAGGAACACTAAGTCTTAAACCTTTGGGTTATATACTGCCATCTAAAGAAGATTTGGACAAAAGCAAACCAAAAACTGTAACCAGCTCATGATAACCCATTCCTACTACCAGCATGCCTCAGTTTCCTAGAAAAGCAGTACTGAGAGCATGATCATAAACACAGGGATGAGACCTGTGTCCCTTGATGTACTCATAGAAAAGATTTTACATTGAGTACAAAAAAATCCTATTTTCTTTCACCTGCAGAGAAATAGGGAATACTAAACTTTTGGGACACCCAAAAGTAGTCCAACTGAGGGTTAGGCAACTCAGCAACCAAATGCTAACAAGCCTAACAGAACGACAATGAACTGGGGACTTCTTGCAGTTTAAAGAATTTAAGCCTGAAACTGGCATCAGATGAGACCAAGTGCAACTGGTAAAAGTTCGAGAACAAGTGAACAGAACACCAGATTGCAGCCTTGTGAATCTGGGAAACATTTGCTCGATGCCGAAAGGCGCTCAAGGCGCTCACATGTCTAGTAGGGTGTACCTTAAAAGAGAACTATGGCTAAACCTTTTTTGGCCGTAGTTCACTTTAGGGTCACTCCTGCACCTTAAAAGAGAACCATGGCCAAACCTTTTTTGGCTTTAGTTCACTTTAGGGTCCTCCTGTGACCGAAACCTCAATGCAGTGCAGAGCTATGCTGCAGCCGGGACGGATCCCAACAATATAATTGGGATCCACCCCACTACCTGATTGACAGCTGGCTCTGCCTTTATAGAGGCAGAAAGGAATTCTTGCAGGATGAGACCACCACTCAAAAATTGAAGAAAAACAAATGGAAGAAAAAAAAATGGATTAGTTTTAACCCAGAGGAACTGCAGAAAGACATCCATTATCCTAGGACACTAGGAAAAGAACTGGGGCATGCTGGTGGTGGGAGGGGTTATACTGACTGGGCTGCAGTTTTTTTTGTTTGCCTGTACTCTTACTCTTGTAAGCAGCAGTATAATCTAGAGGTTAATACTTTGTGTGTCCTTAAATGGACAACAAGAAAACACATTTTTAGTAATGTAGGGAAAGAACAGAGCTGCCACTGTTTTTATTACTCTCTGTACCCCCCATTTCTTGCACATCTGTCACAGGCACAGGAAGTTAGAGGAAATCTTGTTGAATGATGTCACAGAGAGAAATAAATACCTGACAGTAACTCTTGCAAACTCCCCATACAAACTGCAGCTTTTTAAAGAAAATGTTTATGTGTAGCCAATAACTCTTCTGCAATTGCTGAAATGTACAAAGGACATTATCAAAGAACCACAATCGTGATTGGGACAAACATGTAATGCTGTCAATGGTGCTTAAAAAATAATCCTTAAAAAAAAATTCCCACAAACCAAAATGGCGTTTTGTCAGGCACGGATGTGTGTTGATAAACTTACTTCAGTTACATTAAAGGGTGCTCCCCTCAGCTTAACTGTATATGGAGTTGTGGGCTCATTCTGAACAACTGGTTTCTGGGAAATAAAAAGGAAAATACATTTTGATCACGTAAGTATAGCTTCAAAATTAAACATCTTCAGCACTTTAAACCAAAAACTAACAAATGTAAGCAAGTTACAGTTGAAAGAAAAATGAGAGAATGTAGAAGAAACCCACATAAACACAGGAATAATATATAAATGTATGCAGAAAGTGTTCCTTGTAGGTATTAGACCCAAGACCGGGCACGAATGCTTACCACTTAGCCACCGCATTCAGAAAGTCACCTTCCACTTACCTCTTTCTTTAGGACTTTGTTCTTTAGAGAAGATTGTGGACTTTTGCAGTTGCCACCTTGAGTATTTTTATCCATTTCTTTGCTATTTTTTTCATTTTGCTCCGATTCGCTCTTATTTACAGATGAGCCATCTTGTACTACCTTGGACTTAAGGTACTCCATGTCAGAAACTTCGTTCTGCAGAGCAAGCTTTCGATCTGTTAATAAACAATGAAATCATTACCATGCTTATCACAGCAAAGCCTCTTCACCAAAATACAAAAATAATTGACTATTACGATGGAAATACTGGTGTATTTCCCCTGCCAGACAGCTACAGGTACTGCATGACTGTTGCTCACTTTGCATTTCTGCTGGTAGTATAAGTACATAAATATATATGTCAATTTACATTTTTAAGAGAATTTTTGAGAAACTAGCAGTGGACATGGACTTTCTCTGCATCTACTGGCAAAAGGCATATTTGCTATACACACTACTTTTACTGCAGTACGCATTGCTAAAGACCTATTGGCTAAAACAAAGTCTACTGGGTCCCAATAAACACGTTAAACTGTGTGGTTGGCATATATTCCCAATCATTCTGAAATTAAATGTCTAAGTTATTAAATGAGTTGGTAGACCAACTTTTCCCAGTATTAAGTAGGATGGAGATGTGGGTTTGTAAAGTCTCACCAAGTACAGTAAAAGAAAATGATAAAAGATCGGGTTGAACATTTTTCAAGGAACATTTTTGAAGGAAAAAATCTGTTTGGTTCAGACACCATACTGGGGGCCAGTCAGATGGCAGTGGCAGTAATGAGAATTAAAGAATAAAACTTATGGCACTAGCTAGCTTGTGGTAGTACAGGCTGAATGCTGGTGCCTTTTTCCTGCCCATAAATACCCTCACCTGCACTTGAAAGTAACCAACTGATCTCTCTGTATGGCAGGAAGTCAACACGAATATGTCTTTACGTTGCAGTTAGTAAGCAACACCACTGGAGAAATTGCATTTATAACACAAGAGCATCTATTTCTGAATGGTTTGATAGTTTATTTCACTCATCTCCATAATAATGTTAATATTACTTAAAAAAACAAAGAAAAAAACAAAGAAAAAAACAAAATGTTTTTGCACAAATGATCCTACATTAGACTTTGCAGCTTAACAGAATACTTGCACTTTGATCAACCCTTTTGAGTTCAAGATAAAGGGCTAATTCATACCATGTTCAGAGCAAATCTGGAATTGCGGTGCAGTGTGTTTTTGACATGTTCAGGGGGGGGTTTGCCTAAAATGGGCTTTCAGGTGCAGTCCAGAGTGTTTGCAATGCGTTTACATGTGTTTTGGTGCGTTCCAGACCAGAAAAGATAGCGCATGCAGCATTTTTTCCCCCGCACCGGAACGGACTGCACTGGTGTGAACAGAGCCCAGAAATGGCATAGGAATGCATTTCAGGTGCAGAAAAAAACTGTTCTGGTCCAGACATGGTGTGAGCAAGCACTAAAGCAAAATGCATTTCCATGAGATAAAATATTAATAATTAGCAAATAAACAAACTGTATCATCAAAAATGTCACGTAGTATATAAACGTAATTCTGGCGACAAGAGTAGCTTCTGATTTGAAGTTTACTTACTGCTATACAATCCTTCTGCATTTTAACAATTTCCAAAGATGACTATCGTCGTAATTGAATCCACACCCCTTGCTTTGATGCTTACCTTTTTCTGAATCATCCTCATTCTCATCGTCTGTCTCCTGCTCAGATGCAGAATCAAAATTCAGGTAATCATCCTCTGAGCGGCTCTTTGCTTTCTGTACAGCCTCCACCTTTGTATCATTAGTCCAGGTAGCGGTTTTGCTTCTGCTCTCATGAACTGTGAGAAACTCTTGGAAGCCACTGTCTTTTTCCAGCTGTACACAAAACAGAAAATATGTGGTCAGCCAAAGATTATCAGAAAATACAAGAATTTAGAAAACACTTTAAAAAACACAATTCATAAGAGCTAATCTCTATTTGTTTTACTCAAACTACCAAATCTCTAAAGTCTGTTGCTTTACAAAACATTCTAATTAGAAGAGAAAGGGGACTCAACAAAAATGTCCACACGTGCTTTAGATTTTCCCTCAAGAAAAAAAAAAGTACCTTATAACACCCCCTCCAAAAAATTAAGTTTACAATTAGATGGATGTGGTGCATCAATACTTGCTACCTGTTCACCTGGTGTAGTTAAGCAAAGAGAGTAGGGCTGCAGCTAACTATTATTTTCATAATCGATTAGTTTGCCGATTATTACGTTCGGTTAATCGGATTAAAAAAATGGCTCCAGTGATGGACTTCTAGTTTCTATTGAGATTGTAGTCCATCACGGGAGCAAGTTTGGCGCGGTGGAAATAAAATAAAAAAAAAAAGAGTGTAGTGTGCAATATAGTACATTATACAGCGGGGCAGTGCAGAATACCAGCAGCTATAGAGGAATGTAGCAATAGTACATTATACTATAATGTACTATTGCTGGGATTTGTAGTCCTCTATAGCTGGTGGTATTCTCCATTGCGCTGTATAATGTGCAATGCTGATTACCACTGACCAGTTAGAGGAACTACAAATCCCAGCAATAATATATTATACAGCACAATAGAGAATACCACCAGCTACAGAGGAACAACAAATCCCAGCAATAATACATCATACAGGGTGTTTAATATATTATTGCTGGGATTTGGTGTTCCTCTATAGCTGCTGGTGTTCTACAGTGTGCCGCTTTTTTTTTTTTAAACAGGAAACATTAAAACAGGTCCCCCTTACCTGTTTCTGAACCCTTGTAAGTCTCTGCGGGTGTGTGTCCGGCTTGTGCACGGTGGGCGCGGCGTCCATAGCGTAACTCGTATATGGAGCCGCGAACAGGCGGACGCAAGTGGGAAATTTAAATTGTAGCCGACGAATCGACGATGGAAAACGCTGACAACGTTTACCATCGTCGATTTTTATCGACTTAATCTAATAATTGTTGCAGCTCTACAGAATACCAATGTATAATACAGCGGCACACTGCTGAACACCAGCAGCTATAGAGGAACAACAAATCCCAGTAATAATACATTATACTGGCTGTTTAATGTATTATTGCTGGGATTTGGTGTTCCTCTACAGCTGCTGGTGTTCAGCAGTGTGTCGCTGTATTATACATTGCAGAACACCATGCACAATACAATGCAATGCAGAAAACCAATGTATTATACAATGGGACACTGCAGAACATTAGCAGCTATAGAGGAACAACAAATCCCAGCAATAATACATTATACAGGCTGTTTAATGTATTATTGCTGGAATTTGGTGTTCCTCTATAGCTGCTAATGTTCTGCAGTGTGCCGCTTTAAAAAAAAAAAAAGGAAACTTTAAAAAGATGGGAAGCTCACCGGGAGGAGAGGGACAGACGCATGTCCTTAGCGTGTGTGGTGGGCGTGGCGTAAGCGGGTTTACCGGCGTAGGCGTGGCGCGAGTGGCTTAACCGACGTGGGCGTGGCGTAAGCGGCGGGCGATTAGAATTTTAGCCGACGAACCGGCGATGGAAAACGTTCGACGAAAAAATTATTCGACGAATAATTGTTGCAGCTCTAAAAGAGAGCATAGTCACCGTATTCTAATATATTTGTTAACCTGCTAAAAGTGTAAGGTCCTCTTATTGGACCAAAGCATTTTATCCACATCTGATTAAAAGAAAAAATGTCAGTATTCCTTTACTAGCAGATTCTTAGTGATCCTATGAAATGACAGTTGTTTAACTGCACGTCTAATATTCTAATTTCTTCCTGTCCACTGTAAGGGTAGCTGTACAATAACAATGCCGACCAAAGCAGCACTCATCAACTTATTCAACTGACAGTGTGCTAGCAGATCCAATGATAGGCAATTGAAAAATGAGGGAATTACATGGATGTTCAATTAGAAGAAAAAAAAGTGGTATTTAAAGATCTCCCTGTATGGTGCAGGATCTTACCATTGCAACATTCAGTCTAAGCCCTCATTCACACTCAAGTGCTGGTCCGTACGGGTGCGGGTTTCCTGGCTCGGACGCCGACAGGATCCATCCTGTCATCGTACGAGTATGCTCACCCGCACTTGAGGTGAGCGTTGGCAGGGCGTATGGCCGCGTACTCCCATAGAGAAGGACAGGGCCTGCATTCTAATCACACGCAGCACATGTCCTTCCCGTGAGCTGCCCGATACGGCCGTGCATGCAGCACGGAGCTGTACGTGCCGGCCTTTTCTAGTGTGAATGAGGGCTAACTACAAAAAATAGGCAACCAAAATGTTTCCTCTGTACTGCGTACCAGTACTACAGAAATGTGTAATTACCTTTTAATTGTATCATGCTATTAAAAGTATTTTACTGTTTACAAAAAGTATTAAAAATTAGGTAACAAATAAAAATGAAGTTTGATATAAAGAGAAAACAAATTCAAGAACTGAAAAAACTTACTTCCTCCAAAGTTGCATTCTTCTTTTTCTTTGACCAAAAAAAAAAAAAAATAATGATCTAGTTATGCAATAAATAATAGGGCAGACATCTTGTACACAAAATATTTTTTTTTAACAAACTGGTTGAAACTGTTTGTATTGCTCACAACACAGACATCTTCCAAAATGTTTATAATGAACACTAAAAGCATTCTTATGAAAACAATAAAAGGTATTGTAGTTGATCTAGAGATGAAGTCAATAAAATAGGCAAGGTAGTAATGTAACATAAGTGAATCTGATTGAATTTAGCTGTAGAGCCTGGAGTTGTCTTTTCAAGTTGCTAGAAAAAGGCTTAGGCTGTCTCAGGTTTAAAATAAAAGAAACCATCCCAAAAGAATATCAGAGGGACCCTCTGCAGAACACGATCACTTTGTCTTGCATGGGCAAGGTGACAGTGTCCCCTTACAAATTTAAACCTAATACAATAATATATAAGTATGTACTACTTTTTATATTTTTTTTCATTAAAGTGAAGTAGACACCGCCCCAAGCTCACTCCCATCAGATTGCTACTTTACAACACGACCATGGGGAACAAAAGTAGCAACCCTCCAGAAGGAAAGACAGAGTCATACAAATAAATTACATTTGTGTTAATTGTTAGGTTGCTTAAATGAATTTTTAAGGTTTACCTCCTGAGTTTAGTGTCACTTTTAAGTTTTGTATTGATGGTCCAAACATGTATTGTTCTCATGTGTAAAATATATTAGGCTATAAACTAAACTAGCTAAGGTTATTTGTTTTCATCTTAGATCTTACCGTTTTATTGTCATTTAATGACTGCTTTGCATCCTGATTTTTGGCAGATTCTTTGGCTTCTTTTTTCGAGTATTTGCTCCACGCTTTGGCCTTCAAAGGATCTCCAAATGATTTGCAGATTTCCACCTTTTTAAAAATAACACAGTTTTTACAAGGGAAGTGTTACTTCCACAACAAAAACAAATGTGTCTAGTACTTGCATAACTCACAGATACACGGGATGTGTCAATGAAGCTTTTGTTGAAATGGCTAAGTGCTGCTTTGGCCTCCTCTTCTGAGCCATAACCAATAAAGCCAAATTTACGGAATTTACCATCGTTTGCATATTTTAGAGTGCAGTCTGTCAAAGTCCCAAAAGCAGCAAACAGGTCTCGAAATCGGTCTTCTTTTATCTGCATGATAAACAGTACAAGAAGAAAAGAAATATGTAATACATAACTCAAGCATTAGCCAAACTTATGAGGAGAAATTGTACAAATTAAGACTAATCATTGCTCTCTTCAACCAAAAGGTGATATTTCACTTGTGCACTTGTAATGTCTATTTCAGATATTTTAAAGTGACACTAAACTCAGGAGGTAAACCTTAAAACCGCATGCAAATATCGTAAATATTAACAAAAATGTATCTTATTTGTGTATCACTCAAGCAGCAAATCAGAGATGATTTCAGGATCTACAGCCGGGTGATACACAAATAAGTTATATTATTATTAATTGTTAAGATATTTGAATGTGTTTTTAAGGTTTAACTCCTGAGTTTAGAGTCACTTTAACTATACCAGTGCAATATGAAACCAAGCATAAATGTGAATACAAATGCAAGGTAATCGTGTGCTAAGGGCTTCATTCTTTTTGGAACGTTTTCGGACACTTAGCAAGTGACTCTGACCCCTGCCAAGCTACTTAAAAACACTGGGTCTTGTGTCATGTGTGTTGTGACATGAATGGATTAATTCACATTCATTTCTGGGGAGCAAGGCAGTGTGATTTACATTTAGATGTCACAGCTGTCAATGAAGTGGAAAGGTGACACTAGGCGTCTAAAAAAAAAACCCTAGTGTCACCTTAAAAGAGAACCTGTCATATCAAATGTGTTATTACATAAGGGGCTTGTTTATTCTGAAGTAAACTTTGTAACTCTCCATTTGTATATTGCATTTTTGTTTCTTTAACCGATTAATCGAAAAAATAATTGGCCAACTAATCGATTATGGAAATAATCGTTAGTTGCAGCCCTACATCTAACACTTCCACTTTACCACAAAAGTTTGGGCTGAAACTCCATTTTAAAGAACTGCGAGGAAAAAAAAAATGATTAACCCTTGCAGTGGTTTTACCCCCGCACTGCAAGGGTTAACTGGACTAAAATAATTGTAAAAAAAACTTACACTCACCCAAACCTTGTAGCTGGCCAGCTGTGACAGCTCTCCCTCCAGCCTGTCTACTCCTACATTGCAGCGATTTGTCCCTCGGCGTCCTCACATCCTATACACGGTGCATAGAAAATGATAACTCAATGTTGGGATTTGTGGTCGAAGCACAGCTGGAGGGCCAGAGTTGCCCACCCCTGCTCTAAGGGCTAGTGATGAGATTCGGAGAACCCAGTTCACCCAAGCCAACCCAAACAATGCTTGCCACCCCCTCCTCCCAACCCAATCAGTTGTCGGGAGGCGCAATCCCCACCACGCAGTTATACATCACAGAGGAGAGGGGAATGACCAATTGCCAGCACAGAGTTTTAAAGGGTTTCTAAAGCCTCTGTTTTTTTTGCATCCATCTACTGCTAGCAAGCAGTAGATAGATGCAAAAAGTTTTTTTTTCTAAAACGCTTTAACAGCGTTTTAAACTTACCCCGTCTTCGCTCCTGTCAGAAAATCCGAAACTGGTCGGGCGGCCGCAAAGCATCTTGGGGCGGGCGCATGCGCAGTTCGGATTTTCGTCCAGGAGACGAGGAGAGACACAAGGTAAGTATATGGACGCGTGCACCCGCATGCAGACACCGTGGGACAGAAAGTACCAGCAAGGACAGAGGAATCAGCGCTGGATCGGAGACCCGCAGCAGCACTGGAGGGACAGATGAAAACATCAGGAAAGAAGAAGATCGGATTTAGAGACATCATTTAAGGTAACACTAACATTGGGGGGAGGGAAACATTTTTTGACTTTAATGTCACTTTAAGCAGGCTTGGGGGAACTCAGGCAAACTGGGTTCTCACCAAAGCCCAGTCTCATCTCTAAGGGCTTGTTCACACCATGTCTGTTAAGATGTGTTTTTTTCTGTACACCACCACACATCTATGTTGCAAACAACTGCTTTTTATGTAATATGTTCATACCATACATGTGCCGTGGTGTACAGAAAAACACAGATCAATAGGTATGCTGGGAAACAGTCCTACAAGGGGATTTCCTCTCACTTCCTGATGGGTCTATGGAACAAGTAGTGAAAGAAAATCTCCCCTATGGTACACAGACAACTCAAATTTTTTTATGCCTTTAGATATACTTTAAAATGATGGCAAAATTCAGTCCTAATTAAGGCAGAAAGTGCCGCTTTCTTATTATACAGGAATATATATTTTAAATGTATGTGGCAGCACAACACATTAGTTGGCTCCAATGTATCTGACCTCAGATCAGTATGAACCAGGTAAACAATATTTTATGACTTCTGAAGCAAGCTACATGGAGTTGTACATATTTAGCTCAGTGCTTACAACACATAACAAGAAACATAATAAAACAACACGTGCTCACAAAAGGCAACCAGGATAATCCGACCCATACTGCTATAATGATGTGCCGAACATGACGGGTACAGAAATAACATGGCATCTAACACGACAGGTACAGAAATAACATCGCATCTAACATGACGGGTAAATAAATAACATCACATCTAACATAACAGTCAGGAGCCAGCACGTAAGTCACAAATACACTGGGCTGCAACACTATTGTAGACATGTTCATTTACATAGCTGTGGCAGGGGCAGTAATAGCCATTCATGGATGTAATACATACCCCGTTAGGGAGATTCTTTACAATTAATCGCGACATCTTAATGGTTATAGGTAAACATCCTCACTAGCCTCACGTTGTGGTACAGGGCGCCGCCATCTTGGTGAAGATCACGTGAGTCGTGACTCTGCGTGAGCGCGCAGCACAGGGGTTGTGCACATGGCTGAGGTGACGTGTGAATGCGGCTTGTGTGTATTGTGTAAAGTAGCGAGGTCACTCTACTGCCCTGCAAATAGCCTCCTTGGCCTCACAGTCTCCCCACCATACATACTGCTATTGTTCTGCCCCAGTCATGTCCCCACTTCGCTTCCCAAACATTTTTTTACATTTTTTGTTTTCTTTAACCACTTGCTGACCAGGTGTTTACACATGTACATGTACTTCATGTACAGGCCATTATTCAGTATTCTGCACTGTGGTACTTTGACTCCATCATACAACGCTGTACTGAAATACATTTTATACCATTTTTTAGGGACAGATAGAGCTTTCTTTTGGTGGTATTTTATCACCACTGCGGTTTTTATTTTTTACTATAAAATAAAAAAAAGTACAGAAAATGTTTTCCCTACGTTACGTTATGAAACATTTATTATTAGACAATTTTTTGGTAAAATATAAAAGACAGGTTCACGTCGGGTAAATAGACACCAAACACGTCAAGCCTTAAAATTGCAGACCCCCACGAAATCGCAACAAAACGACCATACTCAAAATTGGCCATAGGCGATGCTTTAAAAGCTTTACACACTTATCACTTTAGTGTTAATAGTCATCGATGGCCCTAGAAGTATTGCTCTCACTCTGACGTTTGCCGTGATCGTCGTTTTCGCACATAGGCACACCAGACACATTTTTGCATGTGGGGGCAGGGGACTTTTAAAGAATGTTGTGTTTTTTTATGTGTAACTAATTTGTGACTTTTTGTTGTTGTTGTCACATAGGGGGCTAAGAAGTCTCCTATGTCAGTGGTCCCCTTCAAAACAATCTAAAATATAAACAATCGGGCCTCAGCGGGCCACGGTAAAATTATTAAACGTTGACCGGTCCGCGGCGATAAAAAGGTTGGGGAGCACTGTCCTATGTGATATCAAATTACAGTGACAGGTGCTCTTTATAGAGACATTAGGGGTCTCTAAGACCCCTAATGTCACCCCGGGACCCCCCAAAGAAGCTGGTGAAGCAGAGATCTGCTTCACCAGCTTCTCTCCAGCTTCTGTAGCCAGAAAATGACAGCTGAATACGAATGTGATGTAATATACATCACTTCCGCATTCACAACACTGGAGGGGAGATCAGAGGGAGACAGTGTACTGATCAACCTATGATCCCCTGTCACAGAGCTGCCATGCCGGTCCCACATGGAGCACAGGGAGCCCCGGATTGGGGGAGGCGGGGCGCAAGAAGGCACAACATACAATCGATCCACCGGCTCTACAGCCACCGGACTGCTTGTATGTAAGCAGCCATTGCTGACTTTCAAATTTTGACAGTTTCAAGGACAAGGAAGTTTAAAGTGCTCACCCGCATCTAGAAGGTGTCCGTCCAGTCGTTTATGTACTGCTGGCGGGCGGCAATTGTGTAAAGGTTATATAACAGATTTTTAAACAATTGTACCACAAAAAAAAATATAAAATGGGAACAGCCCAAAAAAAGGCAACACACAGGTTGCAATGTACAATAAAAGGTTTCACAATACCTAATAACAGGATTGTTGGAATAAAGGGAAACTTAATATCTACAGTAGTTTAGTTTGAATGCGTATCATGAACCAGGGCTCAGTACTCACAAATGTGCAAACAACCAGAAAAAATAGGAAACAAAGTCTGCTGGGTCAAACGCATAGCATGCACAACAAGCAGTATCACAAATACACATAAGCCGAAGCCTGGAGGGAGTATAATATAGACCTGACCATAAATAAATTTGAATTGTATAAACTTATCAGCAGTACTAATACCATCCTTAAACCACGTGGGAGAGAGTTCATCCCAGTAATCAGTATCCAAGGAAGGTATTAGGAGTTTCCAGCGGCAGAAAAGGGTGAAGGAAGGAAGATTTGTAGTAAAGAGTAGATGGTGGTAATAGCTTTCCACACATGTTAGAGAAGAACTCTGGGCAAATTAAATCTTAGAGCTATACTCACCAGAACCGTGATCCCGGCTGGCTCCTAGACTGGTTCCTGCCACCTCTCTCACCATCCACTCCGTCAATGGTATGTAACTCGGTGTCATGTTCTATACTTTGTATAGGTCATGATGACTCACTGGACCTTAGACTATTGGAGCGGAAGAGGAATGAGGTTGTAGGGACCAGGCTAGGAGCCAGCTGGGATCGTGGTTCGGGTAGTATAACTTTGTTATTTTAGCTCCCTAGACAAAACAAAAGGTTAAGTTCACAGGGCCTAGGACAGAAATCTTAGGCAAAGCAAGGGTTAAGTCCACAGGGTCACAGGGCAGCAATCCTAGGCACAGCACATGTTAAAAGAGAACAATGGGGTAAGTGCTTTTCCCCATAACTCTCCTTAGGGTCACGGGAGGACATATACTAGCGTCCTCCCGTGACCCAAAGCTCAGTATATCGCGAGCTACATTTCGCAGTATACTGAGACCACCACAGCCGGGATGGATCCCGACAATACTGTCCACAATACAGATCCACCCAGCTGCTTGAGTGACAGCGGGCTTGGCCTATCTAGAGGCAGAGCCAGCTGTGCCCGCCCACTCCCCTGTCCGTTCCGCCAGTCAGCGCCAGAGGATCGGAGCGGGTAGGGGGAAATCCCTGCAGTGAGCCGTGAGGGACAGTCACGGCTCTCTGCAGGGAGATGATCGAGAAGTGAGCGAGCGACGGTATGTGTTCGCTCACCTCCCAATCTATTGAGCCAACGTGTGACAGTTTAATTGTCACACGTCGACTCGAACTATGAGGCTGAGTGATTTTCACTCACCTCATAGTTCTCCACGGGATCACAGGGCAGCAATCTTAGGTACAGCAAAGGTTAGTACTCACACTAGCAGCTGTACACTCTCAGCATGGCTAGGCTTCTTCCCCTTTAAGGCCACAGCTAAAGCCCTATCATAGCTCAGGCTCTGCTGTCAGTCACGATAGAGAGCAACTGCCTGCCAAGCCCTCCCACACCCCTTAAAGGAGAACTATCAGGGACAGCTAAGCAACCAGCCTGGCTACCTGATACATGCGTCATCCTCAGGATTGTGGCCTTTGTTCCTGGGTGGCTGCTGGTGGTGGGAACAAGGGACTCTGCACTAGGACGCAGGCAGGTCACCCAGTGCCCGAGTTTTGGGCACCCAGCTGCTTGCAGCTTCCTGGCTGCCGGCCACCCTGCTGGGACTAGGGACACTTTTGCTGCTGCCAGGGGGTGGGGGGAGTGGGGCTGGTGCCAGTGTCAGCTGGTTGGGGTATTGGTTGCCATTCACAGCTGCTCTAGATTTTGTCTGCTCCAGTTTGATAAATTCCCCTCAATGTGTGTTTTGGCAATGGACACACCCTTTTTTATTTGGACCATTAAGAATTTAAATGCCAAAAATGAATTGTTGTTTTCCACCATTATTTTATTTTTAAAATAGCAAACAAGATAATTAACAGTTAGATGACGGTTTTAGTGCAAAATTGCACTTTTGGTAGGTAAAAATAACATTTTCACAGACATCTGTACATCAGACCAAAAAGAGGGACAACTGAGGAGGAAAGAGGGACAGAGGGGTTTGGTTCCGAAAGGGGGACAGAGCAGTTTGGTTCCAAAAAAGGGATAGTCCCTCCAAATGATGGACAGTTGGAAGGTATGAAAATGTTTTTAGCCGTGTCACTTATTTTTAGCTCACATTGGCTGTAATTTTGGAAAATAATGGTGGCTATGGCAAATTGTGGTGATTGTAGTTTAGTAAATCAAGCCTATGAGAAAACTAAAAATTGATAATATTCTACTGCAGTTTTCTTTTCTTGACCTATCTGCATGGCAGCATACGCATGGCCTGACCCCTCTTCCTCGCCAACCTCCATGGTTGTGCATCAATAGCCTGTTGCCTCACACCGCTTAGAGCATTTTGGAACTAGATCCTACTCCTATTAGGGTGGGCTTCATGTGATGCCATGGACATAGATCAAGAAAATAAAACTGTGGTAGGTATGTTTCTATCGGTTTCCATTTTCACTGACATCTATATGCATTACGCACAGACAGAAAATAACTAGCAGAGATGTGGTGGGGATGCTATGACTTGAAGTGGACCTTGGAATAAAACGCAAGGGCCACTTATATTGTCCGGCTCCCTTTCACAATTCACCTATTAGTAGGTGTAAGATGAACCTGTAAAAAAAAGTTAGGGTTTATCATTACCTCACCCCATCTTCTGGCCATGGCGTCTAGGCAAAAACATTCATGGCTAGATCCTGGGAAACAAACCGCTGGCGCTTACAGTGGGATCATGGCTGGTAAATGTTCCTATTAGACTAGGTTAGGCTACTTCACTCTAGTGTTAATCAGTCCGTCCTTATGAAGCTAAGACACAAAGGAAAACAGGGATGAACAGCTAGGAAATTTAGACCTATTTAAAGGAGAACTATGGTGTTAAGGCTTTTCCCCATAGTTCTCCTTAGGGTAGCGGGAGGCCGCTACCCTAGCGTCCTCCCGTTACCCTAAGCTCAGTATACCGCAAGCTACTGCTCGTGGTATACTGAGATGCTGCAGCTGAAGCGGATCCCGACAATTATGTTTGGATCCGCCCAGCTGCGTGAGTAACAGCTGGCTCTGCCTATCTAGAGGCAGAGCCAGCTGTACCCGCCCCCTTCCTTGTCCGATCCGCCAGTCAGCGCTGGAATCCAGCGGGAATCCAGCCCCTCCCCTGTCACGGCAGAAAGCCGGTACTAGATGGGACATGACCTGGAACCTTCAAGCCGATGACAATTTAGAAGTACTTGGTGTTGCAGCACATCTCTAGGATTGGTTATATCAGAAAAAAACATAGAGCAAATTGCAAATAGCCTAGGCACCAGAAATTATAGAAATTATAGAAGGCATAAAAGGACCAATTGTTTTTACACAAAGCAGTCAGCAGTATTCAGAAAATGGGATGTACTTCCTTAGC